ATCTAAAGTGTCCCTAAAGAGTAAGTTCATTTAAAAATGATCACTTTTCCAGCGAGCGCTATCCATTATCTAACTGTCCGTTCACACCGAAAGTGCCGAGCGCCTCAAAATAGGCAAAGTCATTCATTTTCAATAAGAACCAGCGGCGATAAAAAATATTTACAATGTTTTTTTACAGGGACATGCAGTAAAAAATTACTGGCGAGTTACTAATGTGCATTAATTAAAGCTGCACAATAAATCATAAAAAGATTGCATTCTCGAATCAAACTCAATTCCTGGAGGGCCGAAGCCCTGCACAGTTTAGTTCCAACCCTGCTCCAACACACTTCCCTGTAGGTTTCAAACAAGCCTGAAGGACTCAATTAGTTTGATCAGGTGTGTTTAATTATTGTTGGAACTAAACTGTGCAGAGCTGCAGCCCTTTTGGAACTGAGTTTGACACCTGTGCCCTAGACGATCTTAATCCAGCATTTCTACAAATCTGTCAATCATATTTTCAAGTTCAGGAGAGAAGCAATCGTTCAATTGTTCAGTAACGTGGACACCTCCAAATAGTGTTGAAAGAGTCACATGCTGTATTTATAAGAAAAAATTCACCCCAAAATTGTAATTTCTGTCTACAAGTAATGTATTTGTGACTGCAAAATCAGACGTGACGTGAGCTGACTGTCAGCTGTTACCACAGGGAGGGCCTCTGAATAAGGTCTACATTAGTGAACAGAACCTGCATATGCTGTGATTAATAGGTAATAAAGTTGTAAATAACATTCAGTTTGTGGCACAGAGTGATCGTTTGGGAGCTGCGCGGGAAGTGAACCGGTCTTAGCAGTGAAAATGAAACCGAAAGCGCACACAGTGTTGCCAGATGTAGCTGACTGATTCCAGCCTAAAAATTATCCAAAACCCGGCAAAATGCAAAAATACCCACCCAGTCTTCTGTATTCACGAAAATCACGTCAGTAACAAATTTTAAGCAGAAAATGACAGATTGTAAGCATAATTCTCAAACACAATAATTCAACATCAGAATTATCATCAGCATTTATGACCAGGACAAATCTAAAGTCTGTTCAAGTCCACCATTCCAAGTCTATACAACATTTAGCATTTTAACCAACAGTACAGCTACACAAAGCCTATTGCTGTTTACCATATGTTTGAGAACAACAATAATAGCCCACTCATATTAACCATTATTTTATCTCTACAGTATAGTGAGAATATCGTGATCTTTATTTTAGGCAAAAAAAAACATGATTCTCATTTTAGCCAGAATTGTGCAGCTCTAGCATTAATGTTATATATCTATATCCATTTATATATTTATCTGTATATTTTTTTCTTTCTTTATAAAAAAAGTGTGAATCTCATGCTAACTACAGTGACTTCTGAATATTTCAGACATAAGGACACATATTGGATAAGTGGAGTTTAGCCACACCACACTCAACAAATCACATACACCTAGGCCTGTCACTCATCGCACAACACATGAACATATATCGCTCATACATAAACATTTCAAGCAACATTTTAGCTGTTTGTGCAACATCTGTATCTATTGGAGGTGTCAGTATGATTAAAAACCCTATAGTATTTGCTATAAATTACAGTAGTATATTTTCATGTGGGTGTCTGACAGCTGAAAATACATGTGGCAGCAGATATTGCAGCCTGTTACTCTTTACCTTGCACTTTTTTTGTTAACGTTTATTATTTATGATTTGCGTTTTCACATTCTGATTCCAACGCCTCATAATTAAATGGTTAAAATAACTATAATTAAATTATATATTAAGAATAAAATAGGATTTGTTCTTTAGAAAAGTGTACTTGCATTGTGATGATATTATAATTTCATTCTGGCATTATATAATGAGTGGCATCAAATGGTCTTAAAATGACAATAATATTGTTTATCGCAATAAATTTTAGTGCAATATATTCTATAACAAAAATAGATATTGTGACAAGCATATATACTCCTAGGAACCATTTCGATTGAGATAATCAAGCAATAATTTTCCTTTTTGAGTGAACTAACCCTTCAGTTCAGTATATGATGCATGTAAAACAAAAACCAAATGTAAAAAAAACATTTAACATATCTCTGTATACAATAAAATCATACCAGACTTTAAATAGCTAAAACAAAAGCCATCCTTATTAATTGATTGATGACCTTGCCCAAATCTCACACACAACTATATTTCTGCCTTGACTTACCCTGATAGCTTTGATTCCTGCTTTGGTAACAGACATCATTTTGGCTCGAGAGATCGGGGGAGTCATGTCCATCATGGACGACATCTACAGAGGATAAAACAAGAGGGAAAACGTCATATCCTGACTGCACCAACACCAAAACAACTCAACAGAAAACCAAAACTATCAGCTTCGTAACTGGCAATCTCAAAGGCAAAAGGAAGAGCTTAGAAATACACAAATGGCAAGTAATAAAGCCTCATCACAAACTTTTAAAAAGCAGAATTAAAATGTACAACAGTTTATAACACTTGATCAAATCATCAACGAGGTTAATTAGTAACTGATTCAATAGGGGGCGCCACTGTAATTCTCTCGACACTCGTTTCTACTATATTAAAAAATACAAACAGTACGAACGACATTAATCACTATAAAGCAAAATGTATCGACTGTTTAGCATCTGTATACAACATACAAAGCTAATGCTACCGGTGAATTGAATTTTAACTAACCGTAGTGTGACCGGTGGAAGGTCACTAAACAAACAAACTTTAAATATGCTCATATCACCTCAGCTTGATGATATTTAGGGTTTCGTTTGAATTTAGGAGTCTAAACTAAAAAACAACGTCTGAAAATGTCGAGTAACAAACAAAAAGCACGAAACGAGGAATGTTTTGAAACGGCTAATCGCGCGCGCTGGGTCAATGCTAACGGGTAAACGACAAATAAAACGCAAATTCTCACCTCCCCGTTAAAGGCGTTCACCGCTTCCATGTCCATGGCTGTTATTAATTTGATATGTCTTTAGATGTAATTTCCTGGATCCGAATAAACATGTGTACAATCGATTTTCGCGACGAGGCCGCGTGAGATTATGCTCAGGGATCCACCACACAACCTTCCACAAACGCTGAGTCCACAAGCCTGTGGGGGAAGAGCGCCACCACCGGACTGGATAACAACTGCAGAGACTTATTTTTTAATTAAATTAAATTAAATTTTATTTTATTTTATTTAACATAATTTTATTTTATATTTGATTTGGTTTCATTTTATTATTTTATTTTATTATTTTATTCTTTTCTATTATTTTTTTCTTTTTTTATTATTTTCTTTTAATTATTTTATTATTTTGTTGTATTATTATATTTTCTTTTATTATTTTCTTTACTTTCTTTTAATTTTTGTCTTTTCTTTTATTATCTTCTTTTTATTTCATTAATTTTTATTATTTTCTTTTTATCTTATTATTTTCTTTAATAATTACTTGTTTTTATTTTACTTTATTTTATTACTTTATTTTATAATTTTATTTTATATTATTATTATTTTATTTTTAATTTTTTATGACTGATTTAATATATCTGATCCACTTAAATCTTAATATAGCCAAAATAATGTATTGCTGTTATTAAAACCTTTTGTTGCTGAATTAAACTTCAATCTTTTTTCAGCAATAATGCATTCAAGTGATCAAAATTAATAGTACAAACATTTTTAATATAAAAAAAGATTGGAAAATTTCTATTCATCCAACTGAAAAAAATGAAACACAACGCATCATGGTTTCCACAAAATAATTTTTGTTGGATCAGCACCTCCAAGTCCGAGGCCATGGTGCTCCACCGGAAAAAAAGTGGTTTGCCATCTCCAGGTTGGAGGAAAGTCCTTACCTCAGGTGGAGGAGTTTAAGTATCTCGGGGTTTTATTCACGAGTGAGGGAAGGATGGAACGTGAGATTGACAGGCGGATTGGTACAGCGGCAGCAGTAATGCGGTCAATGTACCGGTCCGTTGTGGTGAAGAAGGAGCCGAGCCGAAAGGCAAAGCTCTCAATTTACCGGTCAGTCTACGTTCCTACTCTCACCTATGGTCATGAGCTTTGGATCATGACCGAAAGGACAAGATCTTGCATACAAGCGGCCGAAATGAGTTTCCTTCGAATGGTGGCAGGACGCACTCTTATGGATAGGGTGAGGAGCTCGGAGTAGAGCCGCTGCTCCTCCACATCGAGAGAAGTCAGCTGAGGTGGCTCGGGCAACTTTTTCGGATGCCTCCTGGACGCCTACCTAGAGAGGTGTTCCAGGCATTTCCCACCGGGAGGCAGCCTCGGGGAAGACCCAGGACACGCTGGAGGGACTATGTCTCTCTGCTGGCCTGGGAACGCCTCGGGATCCCCCCTGAGGAGCTGGAGGAAGTGTCTGGGGATAGGGAAGTCTGGGGTTCTCTCCTAAGACTGCTGCCCCCGCGACCAGGCCACGGAAAAGCGGCAGAAGATGAATGATGAATGAATGAATGAATGTTCAACTTAATTTGTTTGTTTAGATTCAGCCGAAATAAACTGTTTAAAACATTTACCTTAAAAGAAAATGTAGTAAATCTAAGGAATCGTCCTTCAATAATTCAGTGCATTACTAAATTGTAATTATATTATTTATCATTTGACATTATGTATTTGTTTGTTGGTTAATCCTCTATTTTTCTCTAGTTTACCTACCAATATGAATTTCAAACTATAAATATACCTTTATTTCCTTATTTGCTGTCTGTCACTCACTGTACGAAACACAATTATACCATGACATACACATATTTGAATGACTATCATCATTATTCATTTTTATTATCATAATAACATTTTTAAAAAGTTAATACAAACTTAAACGAGTTAGAAAGACACGGCAAAAATATATATTTTTTTCTACTTAGGACTTTTATTCCAAGCGTCTCTATGAGGGCTTTTATTTTGAAGTGTAGCGTTCCTCCGGTTCAGACTCCGGTGATCTGCTGCGACCATGCCGACAGTCAGCGTGAAAAGAGATCTGCTTTTTGAAGCTCTGGGACAAACATACAGTAATATTTATCATTTATCTGTTTAATAAAATGAGCGTTATCAAGAATCTGACGTTAACGGGGAAAATTGTCTTATTGTGTGTAAGAGATTATGTCAACATCCGCTGAAATCATGGAGGAATTTCTTAACGAAATAAATTACACTTTGTATGTCGCATTTTTATCGTTTAAACCCATTTTATTATTACTTCATGAATTCATGTGGAGACTAGAAATTAATTTTATTTTAATAACATATGACACCAGTGTGTCGCAGCGATTGCATCAGATTTAAAGTATACCGACATCCCACCGCAATCACTGAAGATGTGTCTCATATTTAATATATATATAAAGTATTTAAGTCTGTTACTGCTTGTACAGTGTAATATTGTATGTTGTATAATGTAGTTTTTATTCTTCATCCATTTGAGAAGCTGATATGTCAAACTGGAAGCTCACTGATGACGACATCACAATGCGCCTCGGGATTTATGCTTTAATTTGTTTTTTTATTTGTGATTTGTGCATTAGCTGATGAAGAGTTTGATGAACTGTGTTTCGAGTTTGGCCTCGAGCTGGACGAAATCGTAAGTATGAAATTGTTTGCAAGCTAATCATATAAAAACGACAACCCCTTGTTATATGTATATAATAATCTCCTAATATGGTTTTCGTTGAAATATATTTGTACTAAATAAGCTATACAGTTATGTGATAAAATAGTTATAGCAAATCAAGTAACAATATACATAATGCATAATTACATTCATTTTTTTCTATATATATCCTAAGTTGGTATTGTGATTTCATTCATATACAGTTTTATCAAAATGTGTAGGCCTCTTTTAAACTTTAGATCTGTAGTGTCTGCTTTTTGTTGGCTGTATGTGTGCGGAGTAATACACAAAGGGTAAAGAGGCTGTACGGGTGCTGATATTACTTAAATATATCACGGCTATCAGCCAATCAGATTTGAGAACCTGACAGAACTGTTGTGTGTGTATATATATTTACACACACACACACACACACACACACATACATACATACATACATACATACATATATATATATATATATATATATATATATATATATATATATATATATATATATATATATATATATATATATATATATATATATATATATATATATAAATAATTACGGAATAATTTTTACATATATAGTACGTTTGGCACATGTATATATAATTAGTATTGATATAAAATATTGACATTCATTATTTACAAGGAAAAAATGACTTTATACATTTATTATCATTTTTAGTAATAATATTACCATATGACGTGTATATATATGTATATATATATATATATATATATATATATATATATATATATATATATATATATATATATATTTATATATATATTATTAAATAATTATAATGTAGTTCCAGAAATGTATGTTATTTTCAATTAGAGTTTTTTAACAATCCATTATTTTGTCTCCCACATGTAGACCTCGGAGAAGGACATTATAAGCCGTGAGCAGGGAGATGATAAAGCAGAAGGAGCGTCTGATGTTGTGCTCTATAAGATCGACGTTCCAGCAAACCGCTATGATCTGCTGTGTCTGGAGGGTCTCGTTAGGGGTCTGCAGGTCTTCAAGGACAAGTAAGACCTGTTTGAGCTTCTGCAATTTGTCAGATGCTGTATTTAACATATTTTATCGAACTCTCACACTTAAAAATGATGACAGAAGTTTTTTTTATTAGGTAAATTTACCTAAAAAGTCCCGTGAAGTGCTTTAAAACCTGCACTTTTGATTAAGTGTTTGATGTAATTTCACCTGAAAAATGAAGATGGGGCAGCACTAGCCTTTCCTCTTGAAAACAAACAGTCAATAGCATTTTGTTTTTAATCAAGCTCTGCCAGTGAGAGTGGTTGAGCTCAAGCGCATGAAATGAAAAGCAAAAGAGAAGCGTCCTAAAGGGGGTGGGGCATGTCAGATACTAGAGAGCATTTGATTGGTCCAAAGATTTAATGAGAAACTAAAGTGTGAGGTGACGTCAAAAAATCCTAGATCAATTTAGGCGACAAAATCAAAGCTTTCAATGTTATTTATGACTTCTAGATGTGAGTTTTGAGAGTGCACTAGCTTATACACTCACTGGCCACTTTATTATGTATTTACTAATACCGGGTTGGGCCCAAAGTGTGCCAAGAAAATATTCTCCACACCATTACACCACCACCACCACAAACCCTTGAGATGGTTGTGGGTGACAATCCAAGTAGATCAGCAGTTTCTGAAATACTCAAACCAGCCCGTCTGGCCCCAACAACAATGCCACGTTCAAAGTCACTTAAATCACCTTTCTTCCCCATTCTGATGCTCGGTTTGTACGGCAGGAGATTGTCTTGATCATGTCTACATGTCTAGATGCATTGAGTTGCTGCCATGTCATTGGCTGATTAGAAATTTGCGTTAACGAGCAGTTGGACAGGTGTACCTAATAAAGTGGCCGATGAGTGTACATATCCTTGAAGACTAATATAATAATAACAATCTATAGAACTTTATTACTAATTTCACGGGACCTTCAATAATGTCTTACCAGGAAATGCTTTAGTATTTAAATAATATATTAACATTAAAAATCGTATGTAAAATATATTATGCTTATTTGTTTGTAGTTTTTAATGTATTTATTGTTATTATATTCATATAAATGGCTTGTGTTGCTGACATGGCATTAAATAAAAACAAGTGATGTTATATGCATTAAATATATGGCTGTTTTGCAGGATGGAAGCTCCTCGGTACAAGCGTGTGAGTCCTGCGGATGGAGGAGAGCCTCAGCGGCTGCTCATAACAGAGGAGGTTATTATCAGTGTCATCTTACAGCTTAGAGGAAATTAATTACATTGATTATGTGAGAGCAAGAAAGCATCAGCCGTATTGAGGAATGGAGAGGGATGATTGATTTGAATGTAATGGTTGTGGTGCTGTTATTTGATCGTACTTGTGTTTCTGTAGACGGCATCTGTGAGGCCGTTCGCTGTAGCCGCTGTACTGCGCAACATTACATTCACCCAGGAGCGATACGACAGCTTCATAGAGCTGCAGGAGAAACTGCACCAGAACATCTGCAGGTAAACACACAGACAAGCATGCGTTATTTTTATTGACACTGTTACGACCCGCTCATTTAAGGCGCAACATAATAGAAATCAACCAACAAGTTAGCATTAATGCAAACTATTTGTTATAAACGAAACTAATAGAACAACAATCAGTTAAAGCAACAAACAAATGTCTAGGGATAATAACAGAAATAAACAAAACATTAGCTACAGGATTTAAATAATGTAAAACAAAACAAAAGAGTCAATGAAATGGTAGGTGTTGACATGAGCAACCCGTATATACACATTTACACAACCAATTATGATTCGTAATGCAGTCATCTAATCAGGATCTGCCGCATTCTCCAATAAGATCTGGAGACTTTTATTTATTGTCATTCAAATGTACTGGTGTACACAGAACAAAATTTTGTAGCGTTGGCTCTGCAGTTTTAATAAAGAATAACACTAAACAATAAGTAAATAATATAAACTATCATATTCTCAGCAGCTGACTGATAGTCCTTATAGTCAAGTGGATCTGTAGTGCAAATGGCTGAGAATAGGTTTTTAGGGTGAGACTGAAAATGAGCAGAAAAGCAAAAATAGTACACAAAAAAGTAAGCATTATGTCACACATGACAAAAAATAAAAAATAAAAATATATATATGAGCAATATCACACGAGTAGCAGTGCGATATGACTGTATATCGCCGTAGGCCTCTTTTAAACTTAAGATCTGTAGTGTCTGCTTTTTGCTGGCTGTATGTGTGTGGAGTAATACACGAAGGGTAAAGAGGCTGTAGGAGTTCTAATATTGCAGAATATCACACGGCTATCAGCCAATCAGATTTGAGAACCAGACAGAACTGTTGTATAAATAAAAAAAATATATAATAAATTATATATATATATATATATATATATATATATATATATATATATATATATATATATATATATATATATATATATATATATAATTAGTATTGTTGTGAAAATTCTTTCTTACCAGGAAAAGGACGCTGGTTGCAATAGGAACTCATGATTTGGACACGATCTCCGGTCCGTTCACCTACACAGCCAAAGCACCCGGTGAAATCCGCTTCAAACCACTCAATCAGAGCCAAGAGTTCACTGCCACTGAGCTCATGAGTCTCTATAAGGTGAGATCTGATTGGCTGTTGAGGACAATTTTATATATATTTATATATATATATATATATATATATATATATATATATATATATATATATATATATATACATACATACATACATACATACAGTTGAAGTCAGAATTATTAGCCCCCTTTTGATTTTTTTTTCTCTTTTAAATATTTCCCAAATGATTTTTAACAGAGCAAGGAAATTTTCACAGTATGTCTGATATTATCTTTTCTACTGGAGAAAGTCTTATTTGTTTTATTTCGCCTAGAATGAAAGCAGTTTTAAGTTTTTAAAACCCATTTTTGAGACAAAATTACTAGCCCCTTTAAGCAAATTTTTTTCCGTTCATCTTCAGAACAAAAATTGGGGAAAAAATTAACTGGGGCGCTAATAAATCAGGGGGGCTAATAATTCTGACTTCAACTGTGTGTGTGTGTGTGTATATATATATATATTCAGATGTGTATTGATTGTTTATTGTCATATAGTCCGACAGTCACCTGAGGCACTACCTGCACATCATCGAGAACGAGCCTCTCTACCCGATTATATATGACAGTAATGGCATCGTCCTGTCCATGCCTCCTATCATCAATGGTGAGTTTAATACACTAAAATCAAAAAAAGATTGACTCACTTCCAAAACCAAAATCATCCATATAATTTTCTGATCATTTTTTCACCTCTTGTCATCCAAGATGGTAATTTCTTTCTTTATTTTCAGTTGAAAAAGGAATTGAGGTATTAGGGGAAATGTGCAGGATTGTTCTTAATATACCGTGGACATATATGGTGTTTGAATATTATTAATATTTATAATAATTATTTGTATTATTTTTAATTTATATATTTGTTTATATTTAGAAAATGACCAATTATTTTGCCAGGTAACACCTCTATTCCTAGCTGGATTACTGAAGCTGCACTGAAACGGCAATTTGGATGTGAAGTCTTTATTGAGGAAAAACCCTGCTTGTATTCCCTGAAAAAACTTAATTTAATATTTAATGAACATTTTGGATGACAGGGAGGTGATTAAATTATCAGGAAATTTTCATTCTGGAAGTGAAATTATTCTTTAATCCTTCTGCAAATAATTATGCTGGATTTAATATAATACTTAATAAGCATTAAGCATTATTTAATGCTTAGATTTAGTTTTTAACTCTCTATTTCAGGGAACCACAGCAAAATCTCATTAAACACAAAGAATGTTTTCATTGAGTGCACGGCCACAGACCTCACAAAGGTAAACCACTTTACTGACACCAAACATAAGATCAGATTTTCTTCAAGTCAAGAATATTTTCTAATAATGCAATATACAATATATTTCTAAGATTTGGGTTGTAAGATATTTCATTTTTATTGTATTTTTGGTTCTGCATGGATGCAAATAGTACAAAAGTGACAGTAAATACATTAATAATGACTCAATAAAATGCAAATTATTAAGAAACCTTCTTTTAGCAAATAATTCTGAACAAAATGTCATTATTGGGATTTCTGATCAGGAAATCATCATAATAGACTAATTTCTAAAGGAATATGTGAACAAAAAATAATGATGCAAAAAAAATCTTTGCATCATCAGAATAAATGACATTTTTCAATATAATTGCATTGAAAAACAGACTTCATGAGGGTACATATATTGTAATATTTACTCTATAGCCGAATAATATGTTGTTTGCTTGAACCACAGGATGCATTTAAATGTGCAAAATGTAATGTGTGTGTGTGTGTTTGCAGGCAAAGATCACGCTGGACATGATAGTGACCATGTTTAGTGAATACTGTGAGCAGCCCTTCACGTGAGTTCTGTCACTATTGCCATCATTTCTAGCACGATCATGTGCTAGAGTGTGCATTTGTCATGATGTTTTTCTCTGTGTTCAGGGTTGAGGAGGCAGAGGTTGTTTATCCTGATGGCAGAATGTGTGTGTATCCTGTAAGTATACACTCCTTTGCTTGTCTAACACACTTAAAGTAATGAAGTGTATATGACAAAAGTAGTTCACCCAAAAATGAAAATAACCCCATAATTGACTCCTCCGCCAGCCATTATTGGTTTATATGACTTTTTCTGTCAGACAAACACAGTTGGTGTAGATTTATATTCGTGAGCTATTGCTTTAAGCTCTGTTGATTTGTTATGATCATGTGAATAATGCAACTATCATTATTTATACAAGAGTGGATACTGTTAGTATGATGTAAAAGCATGGTTTACATGTTAAAAATGCAACCAAAGGGAACTACTTTAGTTGCACACAAGCAGAGTTTCAGCTAGAGATGTATATAAATGTAAATGTATGCTATACACACTATCGTCAGAAACATTCATTAGATTTGAAGTAAATTGTTGTGTAAGCACTCTTAAAGACCTTTTTATAAAATGTATTTGACTCAGTTGAAGAAAAATGAATGAATGAATGAAAATGTTTTCCAAATAATTAAAAAAATATGAAGCAGCACTGCATTTTGCATATCATTTGCACTGATAAATCACAATAATAACGAATGTTTTCTGATGTAATATTCTGAAAAATTATTACAATTTAAAGTTGTTTTCTGCTTTAATTTATTTTGAAATGTAGTTCGTTCCTATATAAAAAATTTTCATTTATTCCTTGTATAAACAATGTTGAAATCAAAATTTTAATTAGTTAAAATTTCAAAGGAACAGCATTTATATAATTTGTTATTTGTAAATGTTTTTACTGTCACTTTTAGTCAGTTTAATGCATCCTTGTTCATTAGAAGTGCAATTTAAATATATATATATATATATATATATATATATATATATATATATATATATATATATATAAGCTTTAGAACAGATCGAAATATAAAAACTACTGTAAATTTTAAGAAATTATTACAATTATGTCTGTTTTCTATTTTGAATTTATTTTGAATTGTAGTTTATTCCTTTACAAACATTTTCGTTTATTATTTGCATTACCAATGTTAAAATCTATTTAAAACTTTAATGAATTAAAATAAAAACAGCATTTATATAATTTGTTATATTATAAATAGTTTTACTGTCACTTTTAATCAGTTTAATGCATCATTGTTGATTAAGAGTATACTTAAATTCTGATCAAATTAAAGAAACTACTATATTTTTATGGAAACACATAACACTTTAAAGTAACTGTTTTTTTTATTATTTTGAAATGTAGTTTATTCCTTTACAAACATTTTCATTTATTCCTAGTACAATGTTAAAATCTATTGAAAAATTTTTAGTTAGTTAAAATTTCAAATTTATTTATATTCAATTTAAATTAAATATTTAATTTATATATTTTAGATTTAGATTATAAATGTTTTTCTGTCACTTTTAATCAGTTTAATGTATTCTTGTTTATTAAAAAGTATATATTTTTATGTATATATTTAAACTTGAACGGGTAGTATTTATAAATAGACTTTCTAGACTTTGCATTTATTGTTGGTCTATTTAAAATGTTTACATTTTGCAACATTATTACGTTACCTTAGATTTATGAGGTTCTATCTGACATTTTTGTCAAAATTGAGTTATTGACACATTCCTATTAAAATGACAACTCATTTACATTATGGGATGTTTTTTTATAAGTTGTTTACATTTTAAGACTTTAAAAAAAAACATCATAAATAAAAAATCATTCAGAACGCAGATAGAACCTTGTAATTCCAAGATGACGATTATCAATAATAAGTTTAAATATAATATAATTATACAAAAAAAAATTACATAACACTTAATTGGCTTTAAAGAACAAGTCACATTATGAATACACAATTTAGGAAAATGCAGTTTACACAAAACCATATTGTCTTTAAAGAAAAAATCATATCATAAATAATGATAAATGATACCTTTTTAAAGTTATTTTTGTTATTCTTTCTCATTAGGAGCTGGCGTACAGGACGGAGACTCTGTCTGGGGAGTTCATCAACAAAAAAGTTGGCATCAAGTGAGAACATTTTAAACATTTTATAATATGAATGCTCATTCTCATGTTCAGTCAGCATATTGAACATCTGTATTTGTTTTTCTCAGTGAATCTGCAGAAAGCATCGCTCAGCTGCTGACCCGCATGTGTCTGAGGTCGGAGGTCAGCGGTGAGGACGGTCAGATCCAGGTGGAGATCCCGCCCACTCGCTCTGATGTCATCCATGCCTGTGACATCATGGAGGACGCGGCCATCGCGTACGGCTTCAACAACATCGTCAGGAGCACGCCTCGCACTTACACCGTAGCCAATCAGGTTCGACAGCAACATTCAATCCGACCAATCAAAACGCTTTAAACTCGAGCTAAACCAAAAATAGAGATTCTGTCATCAGTGAGTGTTTACATGCACAGACGTACTTAGATTATGCTTAAGAAGCTGATAACGCGGATGTTTCGAGAAATTGCTAAACAATTAAAATCGCATCCACTTTTTCCAAACCTGTTTGCGTTTTTTTTCTATTAAACACAGGAGGAGATATTTTCCAAAATGATTGAAACCAGTAGTCATTAGCTGGGTTTCCATCCTAATGTAAAGCAAGTCTTTTCAAAGTTTGCAAATTTTTTTTTACAAATGACTTACAATTACATACAGTCGTTAGAGCAGCCTGTAGTAGTATTGGTAACCAAGCAACTAGTAGTAAAAAGGCAAGCACAATGGAGACAGCTAATTTGGTCTTGTGTAGTAATGTTCACTACATCAGAGTTTATTGGGTAAATGTGTTTTCAGATCTAATTTTTTGCAATAAACCTTTGTCACACAAGTCCTAAACCATTACTAGGAAGCATAAAATCTTTATTACAAATTATTTATTCTAAATCTGTCCTTTGCATCACTAGTTTCTCTAGATACTTCAAAATGTGCATTAACACAGAAATGTATGGAGCATGGAAACCCAGCTAATGACTTCTATAGTATTTCTTTCCTTACTATGAAAGTCGATGGCTACTGGCAATGTTCTTTAAATATCCTCTTTTGTGGACAAGTGTCGACAGAAGAAAGAAGCTCAAATGTTTTTGAAATAAAACATTGTGCAATTCTTAATGCGCCTCATACGGGTGAGTGGGCTTGACAAACCACCTGTAGAAACTCTCTTTTCTTTATTTGCACCAGACACTTTACTTAAACTCCATCTTACAAGGACTCAATAAGAAAAACTTGTGAATGTACCACGAATCATGTTGCGTTTACGTTTTCAACCGTATTGGCTCTATTTTACCAATCTAGGCGCAAATGTCAAATGTGTCTGAATCTACTTTTGATATTTTAAGGATTGAAAAATAAGGTTTGCGCCCTGGCTCACGGTCTAACAGGGTTGTGCTATTCTCTTATTGAGTTATGGGTGTGTTTTGAGCATAACATGCTTTGAACCAATCAGAGTCTCATCTCTCATTCCCTTTAGAAGTCTGTTGCGTTGTGCCATGGTGCATTTGGACTTGCTTTGTAAGTGGAAAAACTGAATGCTTCACTAGCAAGTTAAACAGACTATCTGCAGCGCGAGGATAAAGAATGAGCCTCCTGTATTCAGCCTCTTTCTCTTTACTTTTACTCTTAACTCCTTTATTTTCGTGGATAAGGAAACGGTGTTGTTCGCACTCCTAATATCTATTAGCCTACATATTTAATTTCATTTGTTAACTGCAAAGATTGGTTTAAAAACTATTTCTAAATTCAGTTCTAATTTCGAAAAAACGAATGAACAATAATAATGAAGAGATTGGCGCGGTCTATTTTAGTTTCTTAAAATAGTAAAGCTCCAACAATACGCCTTAACACACCTTTATTTTAGGCCAGCACATCCACGAGTCCACAAAGTGATGCAAATGGATGTGCAATTTAAGCAACGTGGCGCAAAACGTGAAAATTACTGTTGCAACAAGTAGCGCCAAACACGTCTTGCACTGGGTGTATGATAGGGCCCTAAATGTCTCTTTTGCACAATATTGTTATGTCTTATGAAAAAGTACTTGTATAGTCTATCTTGAGTTATGTGTAAAGTTAAGCACTTATAGTATATGTTTAGTTAGTATTGTTAGATTATTGCTCCGGTATGTTAGTTACGTATAGGTTTAAAATAGCTCTTACATCCAGTGTTTTGTTCATGTTTATGATTGTTTATTTATGTAGCTCTGTAGTCTTGGAATACACACATGTAGATGAATGACACTAAACCTCAAAGTGACTTGACTAAATGTGTGTGTTTTTGTGTTTTGCAGCTCCCTGTAAATAAACTGACAGAATTATTGAGGCAAGATCTTGCAGCTGCTGGCTTTACTGAAGCTCTAACATTCGCTCTGGTAAAGAAATCATATATTACTGATGCTATGAAAAACAGAGAGTGCATTTGTTTCTGTATGTTTGTTTATGTGCACAACCACAACGACATTAACAAAACCTTTTGTTTGTTTGCCTATGCATTTATTTATTTATTTATTTTGTCTCTGTAGTGCTCACAAGAAGACATTGCTGATAAACTCAGGAAAAACATGGCAGAAATCGGAGCAGTTCATATCTCCAACCCGAAGACCGCAGAGTTTCAGGTAACATCCACAAACCTATTTTAAAGATCTGATTGGCATTTCTCACATTTGTCCACTAGTGGGTGCTGTCACACGTTTTTTTACACTGATAGTGCACATTAAAAAATGAAAACTCTGTCCTCATTTACTTCAAAATTCTTTCTTCTGTTGAACACAAATTATATTTTGAAGAAAGCTGGACACCATTGACCTCCATAGTTTTTGTTTTTTGGATGGTTACAGGTTTCTGAACATTCTTCAAAATATCTTTTTTGTGTTCAGCAGAATAAATGAACTCATAAAGGCGTATTTCCACTTAATGGAGGGTAAATTTGTTGTCGAAATTTGAATTTTTGGGTGAATTATCTCTATAATGATCAGTAAATGAGAGGTTTGACAAACTCACCCATTCTGTCCTCTAGGTGGCACGTACCTGTCTTCTTCCTGGGCTGCTGAAAACAGTCGCTGCCAACAGAAAGATGCCACTTCCTCTCAAACTGTTCGAGATTTCGGACGTCGTCCTGAAGGATGAAACAAAAGGTGTGTTAGCCATCTTATCTGCTTTTGTGGATCTTAAAAAACATTTTTTAAAGGGACAGTACACTTCAAACAATATACAGTTGAAGTCAGAATTATTAGCCCCCCCCTGTTTATTTTTCCCCCCAATTTCTGTTTAAAAGAGAGAATATTGTTTTCAGCACATTTCTAAACATAATAGTTTTAATAACTCATCTCTAATAACTGATTTATTTTTATCTTGGCCATGATGACAGTAAATAATATTTGACTAGATCTTTTTTAAGACACTTCTATACAGCTTAAAGTGACATTTAAAGGCTTAACTAGGTTAATTAGGTTAACTAGGCAGGTTAGGGTAATTAGGCAAGTTATTGTATAACAATGGTTTGTTTCTGTAGACTATCGAAAAAATAGCTTAAAGGGGCTAATAATTTTGTCCTTAATGTTGTTTAAAAAATTAATAACTGCTTTTATTCTAGCCGAAATGAAACAAATAAGAGAAGAAAAAATATTATGAGACATACTGTGAAAGTTTCCTTGCCCTGTTTAACATAATTAGAAAAATATTTTAAAAAGCAAAAAATATTCAAAGGGGGCTAATAATTCTGACTTCAACTGTATATGCCAGCATTTATTTGCCCTCAAGTTTTATATGTATATGAATTTCTTCTTCTGAAAGCAAAATAATATACTATGGAAGTCAATGGAGACCATCCACTGTTTGGTTATTAAGCTCTTGTTTCTAATATAATCTTTTTTTGTCGAGCAATGAGGGTAAACCACTATTTAAATTCTTGTCCATTTAAAATCAAGCTTTCACAAATGAAGCACATAAAGAGTCTTGAATCAATCAATCTTAGTTTTTTTCTTCCTCAATACATTTATCTAAACATCCTTATATTAGGTTACATCTAACAATAAACATGTTTGCTTAATATGAGAATGAATATGTCAATTGTGTTTCTCTTTTATTATTTTATTGACACATTTTGATCTTTAAGTAAATTTGTTCTGATCAATTTAACAGACTCAGTTTCCCAGAGTTATTTTGGTTCTCGTGCGAATGTCCTTTAATGGTTGTACTGAAAAATAAGACAATAATACTGAGGAATATTTGTTTTTCTGCCAAAAATGTGCAGTGAAGTGTTTTTCTGATATATTATAAAATGTTACATTAAGAATCAATGCAAATTGAGAGAAAGGAGAGTTCAGCTCATTATCAAAGAGCTGCGCTAGATTATCTCGAAATGCAAAGTTTATTTCAGGAAATCAGTGGAATTTTAATTCATTGCTTGTGATACTTCACACATTCACATATGTGAACGGAGACTGGCAGTACCTACAGACATTATAATAAAGGGTGGCCGTGTTTACATGTCGAAGCAACAGAACGAAAGCGGACCATGCTTTCTTTTATAATGTCTATGGTCAGTACGTCAAATGTATGGATGCACACACACACACCCCAAACAGCAGCAGGGCAGAGGTGTGCCAGTCACTGAATCTAGCATGTAGGTGTTCACAACTGTCTGCCACATTAAATCTTTATTTTATGCACTGTGTTTGTCAAAGTTATCTCTAGCTCAAATGACGCCATACGCTTATTTTACGAGGCTGCCATTTTAAAGAGCCAAAGCGAGGAAGAAACTCGTAAGTAGTGGATCAGTGCCAGGGTTCAACGCTAAGGATTTTTTATACGGGTCCGATCGGGCCATTGGTTGAGATTTTTACTTGCCCTGCCAAAATTTTTACTGGCCCCACCAAAAAAAACTAAAAAGTTAATAGCTATTTCTTGGCCACATATTTTGAATAATGGCAAAATTATGCCTGTGAATCTAGAATTTTAACATTTTAAATATGTTAATAAATGTATAATGAGCAAAAGGATTTTATGCAAATAAAAGAGCAGTATGAAAAATGTGCTGGTATTTTAATGCAATTCTAAATAATTTTTATAAAAATGGCTTGCCAAACTGACAACTGTTTTTTTTTTTTTGTTGTTCTTTCTTTTCAGTTCCTTAATTTTGTACCAATGTAATTGTCTGCTTCTAAGACTTTAGAAACAGACGTTTTCTTTTAGCCTCATTGTTTAATTTTGCCGCCATGTTGCCATCTTTTGGCTGTACTGGTTGTTACTGGGTTACAAAAAAAAAAAAAACGCTTTCATCGTTACTGGCCGATAGGGGCCAGTAACAATCCTGTCTACTGTCCCGAGTGTCTTTCACGCTGGCCCCGGGCCATCGGGCAGTCCTTATTGTTGAGCCCTGAGCACTGTAAACATTGCAGCAACATGCTGTGGACTACAAACCTCCAGCTGTTGCCGAGATTTCAAAATGCAGAAATGGTGTAAACATTGCTTTAATATCATTCAGTTAGTTTAATTTAAACAATTAAAAGCAATTTAACATCAAACAACATCACAATCTTTTTAAGAGTAATATGCTCAAGTGTCCTCCTGGGCTTCAGTTCATGGCACCAGTTAAACACAGTGGGGATGCTTCCCTGCTTCAGCCTATGTAACCCAGTGAGCAGTAAAAAACTGTAGTCCTTTGTAGCACACTCTCGTGTTGTCTGTTTTAGTGTTGTCCTGGTACTGATGTTTTAAAAGCATTCATTTCCAGCTAACATCCAAGCACCGCTGAGCGCGTTCACAAACAGCGCTGAGTTACCATAGTATTCACCATTGCTCAACAGTTTACCGCTCTTCACCATGTGCAAACACAAATACACGGAGACTGAAGCGAGAAGCAGCCGTGAAGATCAGTCGAGTCATCAAGCAGATCGCTCATCTGTGTTTGTGATCGGTGAGCAGCGGTTGATGAACTGATGACCATGTCAGCCAATCACAGTCATTTCTGTTGAGCTCGTGAGCACAATCGCAAATCAGCGCTGTTTTAAGAAAGCCATCAATAGTGCCTTAAATGTTAGTGGGAAATTGACGTTTTTTTCTTTTATTAAGTATCTTGACGAGTCTTAAATAGTGAAAGAATCAGTTCATTAACTCAAATTTGAGAAAAGGGCATCTAAAATGTCTGTTTGGGAAAGAAAACGTTAGCTAACTAAAGCCATTTAGCTGAAAATGGGCACTGATATCCCATTTTATTTTCACCATTCATTCAGAACAGACCTTCGGGCCACTTGGAAGGCGGTAAAATGATAACTTTGTCTCGATTTCTCTTCGCTGATAAGATATACAGCCAGCTACATTACAACGTTACTTTGTAACTCCCATTGATACTACCGGGTTTCTTCCCACCGCAGCCTCGATTTCACTTTTAAAAATGGCATCCATGTGAAATCAGTCTATTCTTTATTTAGCTTTTTGCTTGAACGCTGGCTCTGAACTGTCAAAACACCTCTCAAAGCACTTTTTCGCATGTAAAAAAAAAAAAAAAAAAAAAACGGCAGTGTGTCAATACAATTCACACAATGTGGTGTCGATTTTTTTATTTTTATTTTTGAAGTTTTTATTAAAATTTTACATTTAGTGTGCAAAAAACTTTAATCTTTAAATAAAGTTTGACACTCAAATTATTTCAAATAAAAAACCAGTTTGTGCCTTCTTAACCTCCTAGGGCCCCAAGTGTCCACATACGTGGACAGCACATTAGCTCTTAAGTGGCTTTTTAAAATACTTTGTATGTTTTATATTTTGTTACCGACATAAACTGTCATCCTTCAACTGTTTTGCAGCATATGAAATGTCCCAAACCCTATTTTTAACTGTCCAAAATGGGAAAAAATAGTTTTTACACTCTGATAGTCAAAGCAAATAAAAAAAAAATTGTTTGTTAAATTTGCATAAAAAATTCTGGAATAAGTGTTTTATGTAAATTGGGACCACGAGTCCACGTATATGGAAATCATCTTTCTCTAAAAGTACATCATATCAAAAGATGATACTTAGATTTTTATTCTAATTAGGTTCCAATAAGCCCAAATAGCAAAGAGAAATCAAAATTGCATGTAAAAAAACACCTTGGGCCTTAAGAGGATAACCCTTTAACTTCCACACTAAGTTTTGTTTTGATCAATATCTTAGATTAAATTGTGTTCCCGAAAACCCTCCAAGCTGAATTTAGACATTTAAACCTATAGACAAAAAGTCAATCAAGCAAGTATGATCCAATTCAAAGGGTTAAACTTATGGAATATTTAATTTTGACAGATTTTTTTGGTCTTAAAGGTGAGCTAATGTGCAAAAAAAAACTTTTACAAGGGGATAAAACACAGTTGTGTGGCAGCAGTCAATATGTGAATATAAGCAGCTTCTATCTTTAATAATCACACTTGGTAAAAACAGTCTGCAGAATCATGCTGCAGTCACACTCGACCAGGGGTGGGCAAACTCGGTCCTGGAGGGCCGGTGTCCTGCACAGTTTAGCTCCAACCCTAATCAAACACATCTGCTTATAGATTTCTTGTGATCTTAAAGACACTAATTAGCATGTTCAGGTGTGTTTGACTAGTGTTGGAACAAAACTCTGCAGGGACACCGGCCCTCGAGGATCAAGTTTGCCCATCCCTGCACTAGACTTTGTACGTGCAAAATTTAGTTGTGCGGCACTGCGAAAATGGGCGGGAAAAACAAGATGATTATGCATTTGAAAAAGTGAGAGATTGGTCCATGTTTTAAATTTCTGTCCGGATTGGTCTCACATGATGTGATTTCACAGGGCAGATTCACCAAGTTTATATAAAAAAAATGTGTATGGTATTTAGAGCTGAGACTTCACATACACACTCGAAGGACATCAGAGACTTATTTTACATCTTGTAAAACAAGACTTAATAGGTCCCCTTTAAAATATTTAATTTCCCTTCATAAAGCCACTAGATAGTTTGTCACATGTAAGTCATGCTAATCAACAACCTCTGAACTTCCTCCGTCTCTCAGATGTAGGAGCTCGTAACAACCGGCGTCTCTGTGCCATTTACTACAACAAGAGTCCAGGTTTCGAGGTCATCCATGGGCTTCTGGATCGGGTCATGCAGCTGCTGGATGTCAAACCGGGCCGTGATCAAGGATACCACATACAGGCGGCAGAAGGTGAGGAAGAAAAGCTCAAAGTCCACATAATAATAATGATGATGATGTTCTTCCTCTGATACTCAGAGAGATGACTGTGTGCATCCGTTTAATGAGCTCATGAGTCATATTCAAAGATTAATTTTGACTGGTTAATATTTAACAGCGTGCAGTAGGTCAACAGAATGTTAACAGGAAGTCTTTTATTGCTGGACAGATCATGTTTTCCTCATTTTCATTTCCACCTAATGGACGAGTTAAGCTTTTCATCAACTCTGGGGTGATTCTGAGCCTGAATTCGGCCACAACTTTCTCTGCGTTTCAGCAAATGAAAGGATTTTTTGGTGACGAATCTTAATTGGGAAATTTTTCAAAAACTTAATATACTCACTGGGCAAATTGACTTCCCTTTCGTTATGCTGGTGGCTTATTTTGCCCCCTTGACTTCCATTATAATGACATTTTTTGATTGCGAAAAACCACGACACCATATACTCATGGAATCGAGATTTTTGGTATTTTGGATTTTTGGACTAAACAAAAACATAGTAAGTGTATTTATTAGGGCTGTCAATTGATAAAAAAAAAAAAAAACGAATAAATCACACTTATTTTGTAATTAATCACGATTAATCATAAAAGCCATATTTAATACAGAAATAAAAACACAGGCATGCGGGTGCCATTTAAATTTCAAAACAATCAACGCCAATAACAAACAAAAATGATTTCCAGGTTGGATTTCTAAGTGAACTAAAAAAAAAAAAATCCAAAATACAGGCATTGCAAATTTTAAACACTATTATAATAATAAAGTACTGAATACAAACAAGTGTACTCATTGTGAAGTTGTATTGCGAGTTGAGAACATTAATTATAAAGTAGAAACAATTTTGCGTAGTCCTCCTTAACATTTAGCCAGTTGCTAAGACAGTCCAGTCTATTGACATTATCGAGGGACAATGTGGACCTTTTCTTTTGAATGATGTGAGCTGAGAGTGAAAACAGTCTCTCACAAGCAAATCACTGAATCAGTACATGAATTTCGGTGCCTAATTTTGGTGCCACTGGTGATGTGACAAGGACGCAAAAAGCACAGAGGGGTACATCAAAGGCACGTACCAAACACTATAGACTTCTGACAAGGATTTGGGTCACACGGTCTATAAACATTTAATTCTAAACAGCTTTGAGGGATATGGACACCGTCTACGATATTAGGCGTTTGCACTTGTTGCTAGGAAACGCACACATAGCGCAAGTTCAGATTTTCGAACTCGAGTGTCAAACGCCCAAAACGCTTAATTCGCACCGCACAATTCGCATCATTCGCAGGATGTCTATTTGTGCCTTTGCATTGACTTAACATGTTAATCAATTGCGCTTGACACTTCTTCCGTGTCTGGTGCGAACTAGGGTTGGGCCAATAGAAAATGCCATCGCCGATGGCCGACAGACACAACGATGCTGAGCCGGCATCGTCATCCTCCGCCCCCGTTGCAAATCCGCTTGTGAAAAATCTTTAACTTTGACGCTTGTACTTAGTAATTTTAGCTAAAACATCAGATACTGTTGGTTGTGCACCTTTTTTACCAACCAAGTTCGTCAACGCCATTATAACGACAGGTATATGTGTCTAACTTATATTTATTCATTTATTATTTGGTTATGGGTTAAACAAAGACCATACGGGTCAGGTAGTTAAAACGTTAGGCTACAAATAATTAATTCGTTATGAATTATTTAATTATTCATAATTAATTCACCGCTGCCAATGATGATGATGCCATCGTCCATCGCGATGTTCAATATTAGACATCGTACGATGCCAAATTGTTCGACATCGCCCAACTCTAGTGTGAACGCAGTTTATTTAAGATTGTTACACCTTTATGGAATAAAAAAAATATTAACACAAACATATCAAGTAGTAAATGCTGAGAATTATAAGGTATATAGCTGTGTGTATAATGTTTAAATCACTTCTGTAATTCTAGTTCAGTGCAGACACCAAAGTTGAACATTTCACTTTTTTTTCATGAATAACACTAAAATAGGCCTTCCTTCTGAACTATAGAAGTAATTTTTAAATCACTTTAATATTGTAATACTTTCTTACAGATTCAACCTTCTTCCCTGGTCGCTGTGCTGAGATCTTTTCATCAGGCAAGAGCATCGGGCACCTCGGGGTCCTCCACCCTGACGTCATCAGTCGCTTTGAGCTCACGATGCCCTGCTCCGCTATAGAAATCGATATTGAGCCCTTCCTGTGAGGTCATTATGCAGAGTATTTTAGCCACACCCCTATCCATTAGCCCCTTCTCCTACATAAACAGTACCGCCCCCTTCTGTCTTCAGGAAACGAGCTCTAGTTACAACAGCATGTGTTACTGTATGCCCAGAAGATAAATCACTGTTTTACTCCATATTAAACATCAAGACTGAGTCGTTGTGTCCACTTCATTTAATGACAAGGAAATAAATAAATGAATATGGATGAGTAAACCCACAAATGTCTATAATTTTCAGCTTTTTGTCAAGCAGTGTCCTCCAAAGTGCCAAGCTGTAACATAGGGCAGTGTTTCTCAACCACGTTCCTGGAGGACCACCAGCTCTGCATATTTCCCTGTCTCCTTAACCAAACACACCTGAATCAGATTATCAGCACATTAGCAGAGACTTAAAGACCTTTAATTGGCATGACAAAGGAGACATCTAAAACATGCAGGGTTGGTGATCCTCGAGGAACGTGGTTGAGAAACACTGACATAGAATTAAAACATTTATTTAATGCTAGGCGAAATAAGGTTGTTGAAATGTTGATGTTGCTTGAAGAAGAGGTTATCTACATCAAGGTGGTTGTTATCGAATATTATTACATGGCTGTCTGGAATACTCTAATCTGATTGGTCAGTCGTGCAGGATATGTTACTCTCAGATAACAACCGCTGAATACGTCGGCTCATCTGTAAACTTCCAATCAACTTGACCGTCAATGAACACGCTCACATTTATAAACTTACAACCACATTTATGTGCATCTGTTTGTCTGTCAGGTTACTGTATACTCCATTCAGCCGTTTTCGTTTCTGTCAGATTTGTGTTTTTGACTGTTTGTCGCCATCTTGTGACTTAATAATGCACAGGTTAGTGTATACTCCATCAGCTGTTTTTGTTTCTGTCAGCTTTGCGTTTAATTAAAAAATTAAACTATTATGGCTCAGAACAATGTTTTGTGGCAAGTAGCCGTATAATAAGCGATATAAAGCACATCTAGGACAGTTCTTTTTGCAGAATAAAGCCCTTCAGTTTTATGTGAGGCTTCATTTTGTGATGAAGTCCTGAATGCATTTTATACTAAAGAGTTTATTCAGCAAAAACAACCACCTGTATGTACATTATCTTGCTTATTACATGGCTTACAGGTTCCTAAAGTGTTCCTAATTAGTGTTAGGTAGTAGCTATGTGGTTTCTAGGAATATTTAAGTTTGGCGCCACTGTTTTGAGGAAATCAAAAGATAGAAAAGTCAAGAAATTGAAAAAGTCACCCCAAAACACTTTAAAGTAAGTGCACTCCCAAAATAAATGATTTAGTGTTTTATCATATTGAGTACAAAATGAGCAATTAGGGGAAATATTGTTATTAAACTGAGGTTGTTTGGTATATATTGGGTAGCAATTTTGATTGAAACTTTTTTTTTTCCAAAAAAGCCAAAACTAATCTCAATCTATGTCACCAAATATATTATTCCAAAAACCTGTGCAAACAGGTAAAGAGATCCGAGACCTATTGATAGATAACCAAGCAAATGTCTTTGACATCGAACTGAGAAAAAGGTTTATGTTGTCAAAAGTAAAATAATCTAAATAACCTTTAGGGCCAGATTTGACTAAAAAGGTATAACACAATCATATTTCTATGTAACACTATCAGGGGTAGCACCAAAAACTATGGCATATTCTTTTGGGGGAACAGAAAAAGAAAACTGATGCATATGAAAAAGGGACACCAACGTCATGTAAGAGCTGACTAACTTAAAAGTACATTTTTATCAAACCAGTTATTTAAAAAATATATATGTATTTTTATTATTTTAAATAAAAGGTATGAGGAGAAAAAATATAATTATATGTAAGGGATCAACACATTAAAGCCCGTTTATAAAAACTAGAAAAGTTTAATGGAATTTTAGGGATGTCAAAATTACAGCGCAACAAAAACTGTAAACCTCCAACTGAGCTAAAAATATAATTTGGGTTAAAATTCCACCATGACGTTGGGTTGTGAAAGACTTGAGTAAGTTAATTAGATGAGCTGTTTCCGTTTTTAAATTACACCATAAAGTGGTTAGACATTAAGTGGTTAAACATTTTAAAAACTTTACAGGACAAATAACACTTTTCTCACAATTCTTGATAAAAAATTAATTCAGTTGTTCAGTAATGTAACTAGCCAACTCCCCATGTTCATTTTATCTCCCTCACTAAAGTAAACAATGAGACGGCGTGCTAATCATTCATGTGACGTCTAAAATGGCGAAGGTGTGTTTACCTGATAACAGCACGTCGAACATGTCGGTATGCAGCATTGAATCATCAGGTGTGTGTTAAACAGCTTCACTAATGCTAGAAAATCCAGTGTTTATAACAAGTAAGCACATGTTTAGTGACTTGTATAAAAAACGAGTAGGCCTGTATTACAGCTGTATCTCGTTAAATGGAGTCACTGCGCCTTAAAGGGACAATTCACTCAAAAATGACAATTGGGAAAACTCTACCTTCTCTTCTACCGAACCCGTTCAGTTTCTGTCTTCTGTTTTTCAACAAAAATAAAAAATAAAATGAAGATATGTTAAGAATGTTGGAAATTTCCAAAGTATTTTTGTTTCTACTATGGATGTCAATGGCTGTTTTTTTTTCCAGATTATAGATAGAAGGTACATGTCCCTGCTGAAAAATCCAACTTAAACCAGCCTATGATGGTTTGCTGGTTTTAGCTGGTCGACCAGCCTTGTTTGAGAGGGGTTTTGGCCACTTGCAGGCTGGTTTCTAGCCATTTCCAGCCTGGTTTTAGCTGGACAGGCTGGGAGATGACCAGCTAAAACAAGCTTGACCAGCCAGGCTGGTAGCCCAGCCAAAACCAGCAATGTCAGGCTTAAACCAGGATGATCAAACTGGTTTTAGATGGTTTTAGCTGGGCACTTTTCAGCTGACCAGCAAAGACCAGCCTGGAAGTGGCCAAAACCCCTCTAAAACCAGGCTGGTCGACCAGCTAAAACCAGCCAACCCTACTAGGCTAGTTTAAGCTGGATTTTTCAGCAGGGACACAATGCAATGTACATTATATACATGTGCGATGAGATTAAGTGCATCTCACTACTCAGTGCAAACATTTAAATATATTCTTACAATACAAATCACACTAAACAAGTTACAGTAAATATAACTATGATAAATAGTGCAAAATAGAGGATGAGAGGTGAGGTGGAGTAAACAGTTCTGGTTGAATGAGAGATGTATACAAGTTGTAATACAATGAAATGTACATTGCATAAAGTCCATAAAGAATTGTTGTTCAGAATATGCAGTTTTGTGTTCAACAGAAGTAAGAAATTCGTAAAAGTATCAAATTCTGGGTTTATCTCTTCCTGTAACAAACATAAATCTGTGTCGGTGTGTGTTAGGATTACAGAGAAAGTGGTTTAACAGGTTATCAGACAGGTCAGGGCGAGAAAGAGACAGTTTAACCTGATTTCCAGCAGATAAACAGAAAGTTAACATGCTTTTCATTATCTTAAAAATGGTGAACTTCAACTTATATGAAGAAACTTGGATAATTTAGCTACTTTTTCATTTAATATTAATAGCTACCCTTTAATCTTTTCAGTTTTATCAATATTTCCATTTATGTATGTTTTTTTTAACAACTGTCCAATATTTGGCAGAGACAAATATTTAAAAACATTTAATCTGAGGGTTTAAACATCTAAATATTGATACAATTCCATTTAAAGTTGTGCAAATTAAGCTCTTAGCAATGCTCAATCATGTTGCACTGCTTGCTTCAACCTTAAATACCTGTTTTGCACAATATTAGACCTCAAATACCTCTTTTGCACAATATCCTGCACAACATTGTTCAGACTCATGTAAAAGTTCTTGTATGGCCTGTCTTATGCATATAGTTTAAGTAGTTTATTTTATGTTAGTTATGCATAGGTTTTTTTTTTAAATAGCTCTTAAGTCCAGCAGTGTTGTTTGTATTTATGATTAATCCATGTAGCACTGTTGTCCTTCCTCTGTATGTCCACACATGTAGCGGAATGACAATAAAGCTCGACTTGACTTGATATTACTAATCGAATACTAATATTTGTTCTGATACATTACCTGAATAAAGTCTTGTTGTCGATCAACAAATAATTACTTGACTTGTATTTGATCATTTGGAAAAGTGGCAGGTCAATTTTTCTGATGAATCATCTGTTGAACTGCATCCCAATCATCACAAATACCGCAGAAAACCTACTGGAACCTGCATGGACCCAAGATTCTCATATAAATCAGTCAAGTTTGGTTAAGAAAAAATCATGGTTTGGGGTTACATTCAGTATGGGGTGTGTGAGAGAAGTCAGACCTTACTGTCCTAAGTAAATAATTAAAAATCAAGGCATGATTCTATTTTATTGTGGTAAAATAAGCATAATCTAGAGGCCTTTGGCTTTCATGTAAGCCACTTCTGATACTAAATAACCAACTAAAACTAGTCAACTTATTTGTTGTTTCTAAAACTTAGATAGGCGACAATACTTTTGTATATTTACAGAAGGAAAACGTATAAATGGCTTCATGAAACCAGAACTTTACTTAATATTCCAATGTTTTTCAGTGGTCAACGATCACATGTTGTGAAAAGTAGGAGTGCCGAAAGCGATGATAGGCTATTATGGTCTGTTTAATTTGTGTGTGTGAAAGACTAGTGTGTATTGAGTACATTCATAAGGGTTTGTGGCTTCATGTGAGGCGTGTTTGTGGTTTCTGTAGTGTAAAGAACTATTAAAGCATCTAAAGCAAACACTCCATCACTGTAAAAATGCAAAACAAACAGCCGGAGAAATGCAGGCAGGCATGAGAGGCGACGTGTTTCTCAGAGCTGCTTTCAGAAGTGTTTATTCATTTCCTTCACCACATCTGTAAAAGCTCATAAACACACATTGTTAATGTCAAAGCAGGAAACTCAAAGTACAAAATAAGTTCTTCGGTATTTTGTAATAAATATCAAAGGCATTACTATAAAATAAAAGGACATCAGGAGTTGAGGCAGTCAAAGCACTTATAAAAGGTAATGTTATGTGTGTCACTGTCATAATACAGATTTAAAGGGACAGTTCACCCAAAAAATGAAAACTGTCATCATTAAATCTCACTTTACTTGTTCTAAACCTTCTGTCAAATACAAAACAAGTCATTTTGAAGAATGCTGGAAACCTGTAACCATTGACTTCCATAGTACTTGTTTTTCTTACTATGAAAGTCAATGGTTACAGGCTTACAGCTTTCTTTAAAACATGTTCTTTTGTGTTTAACAGAAGAAATAACCTCAATAACACAAAAGAAGATATTTTGGTTGTGACTGGCATAGTTGGAAAAACAAGTACTATGGAAGTTAATGGTTACAGGTTTTCATCTTTCTTCAAAATAACTTACTCTTTGCTTAACAGAAGAAATAATCTCATAAACAGAAAAGAAGATACTTTGAAAAATGCTGAAAACCTGTAACCATTGACTTCCATAGTACTTGTGTTTCCTGCGATGGAAGTCAGTGGTTACTGGTTTTTATCTTTCTTCAAAATCACTTAATCTTTAACAGAAGAAATAACCTTATAAACATGAAAGAAGATATTTTGAAGAATGCTGGAAACCTGTAACCATTGACTTCCATAGTACTTGTTTTTCCTACCATGGAAGTCAATGGTTACAGATTTTCATCTTTCTTCAAAATTACTTATTCTTTAACAAGAAAAAATAACATCATAAACATGAAAGAAGATATTTTGAAGAATGCTGGAAACCTGTAACCATTGACTTCCATAGTACTTGTGTTTTCTACTATGGAAGTCAATGGTTACAGGTTTTCATCTTTGTTCAAAATAACTTATTCTTTGTTTAACAGAAGAAATAAACTCATAAACACAAAAGTAGATATATTTTGAAGAATGTTGGAAACCCGTAACCCCTGACTTCTATAGTACTTGTTTTTCCAACCAGTCAATGGTTACAGGTTTTCAGCATTCTCCAAAATAACTTATTCTTTGTTTAACAGAAGAAAGAAAGTCATAAAAGAGTAAATGGTCAGTACATTTAAATTTTTTTGGGTGAACTACCGTTTTAACTTAAACAATACAGACTTAAAGGGATAGTTCACCTAAAAGTGGAAATTCTGTCATCATTTACTCTCACATTACTTGTTCTAAACCTTTATGAGTTTCTTTCTTCTGTTGAACACAAAAGAAGATATTTTGAAGAATGCTGGAAACCTGCACCTATTGAATTCCATAGCATCTGTTTTTCCTACTATGAAAGTCAATGGTTACAGGTTTTCAGCATTCTTCAAAAAATCTTTTGTTGAATAGAAAAAATAAAGGTTTGGAGCCACTTGAGCATGAGATAATAGTGAGTAAATTTTAAATCATAGTAGGACAAACTACTATGGAAGTCAGTGGTTACAGGTTTCCAGCATTCTTCAAATTATCTTCTTATGTGTTTGACTTTATTTCTCCTGTTAAACAGAATAAGTTGTTTTGAGGAATGATGAAAACCTGTAACCACTGACTTCCATAATAGGAAAAACAAATACTATGAAAGTCAATGATTACAAGTTTTCATCATTCTTCAAAATATCTAATTCTTTGTTTAACAGAAGAATAAACTCAAACACAAACGAAGATCATTTGAAAAATGCTGAAAACCTGTAACCACTGACTTCCATAGCATCTGTTTTTCCTACTATGGAAGGCAATGGTTGCAGGTTATAGTGTTCTTCAAAATATCTTCTTTTGTGTCTAACAGAAGCAAGAAACTCATAAAAGAGTAAATAGTTAGTACAATTTCATTTTGGGGTGAATTATCTCTTAAAGGCTCAACATTTTCCAAAGACTAAAAAGTCCAGCATCTAATTTATACAATGAATTTCAGTGCAAAATCTCACTTAGAAGGAAAAATATAATATTCCTTGTTCAAAATTAATTAAAAATCTACATTACAACAGTTAATAATAAAACAAAATCAATATTTTATGAAATTACAAAAAAATAGATACTTTCTTGACCAACCAAGCACTATTTTTATTAAATTGTGGGAACCCCTTCGTAAACATGTCCAAACTCTTCAGCCTGACCTTGCTCTTTCTTAATAAGTCCCCACCCCCAATTCGCTGCTTGAGGGTGGATACTAGTTCTGGTCAACACATTGTACACTTGTTTTTTCTGTATATAAGATTGCACTAGTGTTTTATTTATTTATTTTATTATCATTATTATTATTATTATTTGCTTAGTGTTACATGTTTGTTGTTTCTTGGAGTCCACATTGCTGAGGATTTGACATGGACTGCTCACACAGACGCCACAGAAGGCACAACAACGCCTCTTCTTCCTTTGGAATAAGCCCCCAAATCCTCTGCTCGTTCTGCCCCTGCACTGTGGAGAGCATCCTGTCTGGCTGTATCACCACCTGGTATGGAAACAGCACCAGCAGCAATTGCAAAGGCCTACGTCAGATTGTGCGAACGTAGAACGTAGAAGTACGCGTAGTAGGAGGTGAGCTTCCCTCTCTCCAGGATATCTACTCCAGGCGATGCATGAGGAAAGCAAAGAGAATCATCAGCGACTCCAGCCACCCAAGCCATAGACTTTTCTCTCTGCTACCCTCAGGCAGACGGTTCCGCAGCATCCAGTCACGCACCAGCCCACTAAGGGTGCCACGATCCTCCAAATTCTCGATTCGATTACATTTTCGATTCTAAAGGCACGATTCGATTCGATTTTCGATTATGAATAATTAATTAATTAATGACCAATTAATTATTTGTAGCCTACCGTTTAAACTACCTGACCTGCATGGTCTTTGTTTTACCCATAAACAAATCATACAGTAAATGAATAAAGGCAAGTTACACACATAATTACCACCTGTCAATCACTTTTTCTGCGGGACTCGTGAATAGGCAGTGATCTGTGTCGTTATAATGGCGTCGGTAAAAAAGAGGCACAACCAACAGGAACCAGCCAACAGTATCTGAGGTGTGCGCTAAAATGACTTAGTACAAGTGAGTGAAAGATTGAAGCAGTCCTTTGACTGCCTGGACCTGCTGTCTCGAGAGCATGGCTGTGAGTGCGTCTGTGTCTGTGTGGTCACGTGATGTGCATTTTCAGAGGTAGAGAGGAAGGAGGGCTGCTCAGAAATGCTACACGCCACTGTGGATGTCAAGTCGTTGTCGTTCTAAAATGCCATTTAAAAATAAAGACAGTGTAAACAGGGCCTGAGTGTGTACTTTTCGCGAGCGGATTTGCAACGGGGGCGGGCGGAGGATCGCGATGCCGGTGTTGTCTATCGGACGAACCGTACGTAATACGTACATAGCAGAGCTTGCAAAACTGTTTTTTTGTCGACAACACGAACGTTGTCAACATAACTCACTGGAAATCCAAAATGCTTACACACCGGCGACTTCATTGAAAGAGGAGAGGGTTTAAGTTCTGTCGACGGGTCTCCTGCTTCTGCAGTTTAACAAGCACTTCAACAAACCTTTTTTATTCCCGCTTGGCAAGCCAAGCTGACGTGACATGGGGGCATGGCAGCATCGACGATTCTATTTTTTGATTCGATAATCGAAATTAAGCATAAATTTCGATCGATTTCGATTAAAAATCGAAATCGTGAGACCCCTACAGCCCACTGAAGGAAAGCTTCTTCCCTCAGACTATCAGGCTGATAAACACCCCACACAGACTCTTCCATACCCCTCACTGCACACCATCAATATGTAGCATGCACTGCACTTTAACCACTGCACTTTTTTTAATCCATACTTCTAATCCATACTTCCTTTAACCAATCAACACTTTAACCAAACCATACATACTTTTTTATTTTTTGGGAGTATGCTGTTGTATTTTGCACTGTCATTGTATTTACACTGTCTGTATTTTGGACTGTCTGGAGCCAGCACCTAAGCTTTTCACTCACCATAGCACATGTGCTGCTGATGATGTGACAAAAATGATTTGATTTGATTTGTCCTATTTGTATATTTTTGTAATGTGTTTTACAATGTATAAATAAAACTTTAAAAATTTTTTCAAAAATCTTAAATTTTAAAATCTGACAATATTTGGATGTTTAATCTAGTAGATTTAATATCTCCTGAGAATATAAATGTTCTTACCATTCCTAAACAAACACTTAAAAAAAATTCTCCCTGAGAATAAATCACGGAATGGGATTCTGCTCTGACTTGCCTGTAAACGCTGAGAAATTACACAGAATCTCCCAAATCCCAGAGTCCCATCTTCACAAACAATCTGTTCACCAGGATGCTGTTGACCAATCCGATGGCCACATATGTGGTGAACTTATACGGCACTTCGATCTCTTTCCTTTTGCGTGCTTCAGGGTCACTCGCAGAAGCTCCGAAAATCCAACAAAGCACCCTCAGGCTCACAAAACGCACTGTTTGTCTGGTCAGAACCAGCATTAACACCCCGATCACAAACCGAGCGAATCCACAACCCAATGCTGCCAGTGTGAGAGGTGGCAGTGTGACTGGAAAAGGCCCTGTGAGGTAAAAGGTCAACCCCAATCGCTCATTAACCCAGTATCCGACCGAACATCCAGCACTGCATGCTAAAATAATAGTGGTGTCCCCCCGTGTGGTGCTGTAATGGTCCAGCTCGGGGTATGTGTAGGCTAGGAACAAGGGCAGAACCATTCCCACCACGGGGGCAACCGGGTTGTGAAGCTGCAAGTAGTCGATGGTTCCCCAATATGGGTACGAAACAGCAATGATGAAGGCTGATATTGCAACGCCACAAATCACATCCTGAGAGGAAACAAAGGAGAAGCATTTCAGTCATTAGAGTCAGACTCTGTAATTCGATATTCGTGCAGCTCCTTGAATTTTCTGCACAGTCATCCTGAAATTATAAAGGTTTACATGATATTATTATGAGATCTGTAGACCGTTTCTATGCAGTTATGAGGGTGTTTTCATAATATGTCAAGCTGGTTGCTAAGGTGTTGTCAAGAGGTGTAGTTGTGAGGTTGCTAGGGTGATGTTGTGGTTTATCTTGTTGCTATGTTGTTACCGAAGTGTTGTGAGTGGTTGTTAACATTTTGCTATGCAGTTTCTGTATTGTAAAGGATTGTTGTAATGTTTCTAACTGGTTGCTAGGGTATCATTATTTTAGCTGGTTGCTAGGGTGTGCTGGTAGTTATTGTTTTGCTGTTGATATGGTATTGTAAATGGGAGTTTTTGTTTCTAGATGGTTGCTAGGGTGTTTTAGTGGTTAGTGTTGCTTCAGGGTTACCATGTTTTTGTGAATGGTTGTTAACATGTTACTATGCAGTTGCTAGGGTGTTCTGAATGGCAGTTAGAATGTTTTAAATAGGTTGCAATTGTGTTTTAGTGGATATGTTGCTATGGAGTAAGAATAGTGCATCTGGAAAGTGCTTAGCACTTCAATTTTTCCACATTTGTTTTTATGTTACAGCCTTATTCCAAAACAGACTAAATTTATTTATTTCCTCAAAATTCTACACACAATATCCCATAATGACAATGTGAAAAAATATTTTCTGAAATTGTTGCAAATTAATAAAAATAAAAAAGCTGAAAAATCTCATGTACATCAGTATTCACAGGCTTTACTCAGTACTTTGTTGATGCACCTTTGGCAGCGATTACAGCCTCAAGTCTTTCTGAATATGATGCCACAAGCTTGGCACACCTGTCTTCAGGAATTTTTGCCCATTCCTCTTTGCAGTACCTCACAAACTCTATCAGATTGGATGGGAAGTGATGGTGTACAGCCATTTTCAGTTCTCTCCAGAGATGTTCAATAAGATTTAGGTCTGGGCTATGGCTGAGCCACTCAAGGACATTCACAGAGTTGTTGTGAAGCCACTCCATTGATATTTTGGCGGTGTGCTTTAGTCATTGTCAATGAACCGTCGCCCCAGTCTGAGGTCAAGAGCACTCTGAAGCAGGTTTTCATTCAGGATGTCTCTGTACATCCCTGCATTCATCTTTCCCTCTATCCTGACTAGTCTTTCAGTTCCTGCTGCTGAAAAACATCCCCACAGCATGATGCTGCCACCACCATGCTTCACTGTGGGGATGCTATTAGCCTGGTGACGAGCGCTGCCTGGTTTTCTCCAAACATAACGCCTGGCATTCACTCTAAAGAGCTCAATTTGAGTCTCATCAGAACAGAAAATTTTGTTTCTTATGGTCTGAGAGTCCTTCAGATGCTTTTCGGCAAATTCCAGATGGGGAGTGTCTTTCGTCTGGCCACTCTACCATACAGGCCCAATTGGTGGATTGCTGCACAGATGGTTGTCCTTCTGTAAGGTTCTTCACCCTTCACAGGAGAACGCTAGAGCTCAGACAGAGTGACCATCGGGTTATTGATCACCTCCCTAACTAAGGCTCTTCTCCCCCGATCACTCAGCTTAGATGGCCGACCAGCTCTAGGAAGAGTCCTGGTGTTTTCAAACATATTCCACTTATGGATGATGGAGGCCGCTGTGCTCATAGGAACTTTCAGAGCAGCAGAAGTTTTTTTGTAACCTTCCACAGAATTGTGTCTTGAGACAATCCTGTCTCGGAGGTTTACAGACAATTCCTTTGTCTTCATGCTTGGTTTGTGCTTTGACATGCACTGTCAACCCTGGGACCTTATATAGACAGGTGTACGCCTTTTAAAATCATGTCCAATCAACTGCATTTACCACAGGTGAACTCCAATGAAGCTGCTGAAACATCTCAAGAATGATCAGTGGAAACAGAATGAAACTGAGCTCAATTTAGAGCTTCACACTAAGGGCTGTGAATACTGATGTACATGTGATTTTTCAGGTTTTTATTTTAAATAAATTTGCAACAAAAACTCTTTTTTCACATTGTCATTATGGGGTTCTGTGTGTAGAATTTTGAGGAAATAAATGAATTTAATCCATTTTGGAATAAGGCTGTTACATAAAAAAATGTGGAAAAACTGAAGCGCTATAAATACTTTCCGGATGCACTCTAGTTGTCAGTGTGCTGCTATGCAGTTGCTAGGCTGCTCTGAATGCCTGTTAGAATGTTTCTAACTGGTTGCAAGTGTGTTCTTAGTGGTTAACTTTTTTTATGCAATAAGTGGTTGTCTGTGTTGCTATGCAGTTCTGAATGGTTATTGTGTTGCTATGCAGTTGCTATGGTACTCTGATCAAGTTGTTTGCTATGTGGTTATATGCATTTTCTGAGGTTGTTCTCCGGGATTTCTATATGGGCATATATTTCTTTACATTCATATACACAGCATCCACAAGCATGAGCTCTAGAGCCAAATGAATATCTGCTTCTGCTACAACTGCACCGTATTAAATGAACTCGAGATAAGGCCAGCCAGACTATATGAATTATACAGAAGTATAAATGTTTTATATCAAACGCAAAAGTGCATGTCCATTATAAAGTGTGTCTCTCTTGCAGACCTACCAGAGCAGAGTGCATGCCGGTGTACAGACGACTCAGACACACCAGCACAGACATGAGCACAGCCACAGCCAATCCCAGCTCAAACGGGAACTAACATCAAGAAATATATACATATTAAAAATACATCTTACTGAAAAATAAACAACATGTCAATATTTACAGTTGAAGAGATCTGGGGTCTGTTCTTCGTACCTCGCTTAAATGATCTAAGATGATCTGGCAGATCCTGGATCTTTTAATCTTGATAACTGATCTCTGGCTAATTTGGTTCTTCAAACAAGTTCGCGAATCAGATTGGAATGTCTGGATAAACTGATCTGAGATCGCTGCGCGTGTTGTGAAGGACAGATCTATCGATTCTCGAAATCATGATCAGCAATGCAGCAATTGGCTGACGGCACAGCAGCGTAATGCATCATCTGATTAATATTCAATTATCCATGTGAGCAAAATTACGTCAAATTAGCAGTAAACGGCTTGTTAAATATGACACGCAATAACCTTCCACATTTGTTGTGAGCAGCAGGCTTTCCACGTTCATGTGTCAAGAGTATTCATCATGTATTTCAATGCATATCAATGTATTTAGTTCTACATTTAGAAAAGATTTTCTTTATTATAGCAGCCGTTTTTTTAATCGGTGTAAAGAATAACTGGTTGTTTACAAAAGCATTTTGATATTGGTAAAGGCGTCTGCAACTTTTGTGAAGCATCAAATCACCGTCATATTAACTATCAAAATATGTTTATGACTGCATAAATGTATTATTTCTTTAAAAAAAAAAGTCACATATTTTGCATTTCTATTATCATACACAAATTGTACTAAAGCGATTTAAAAAGTTCATATCAACAGGTTTTCTCTTTGCACCACCAGGTGGCAGTCTTTGTACTTTCATTTCGAGGGTGCAGATTGCATAAGTTTTATTAATATATATAACTTTATTTATTTTATTAATAACTATAAATATATATATATATATATATATATAGTTTAAAAATATTTACTCTTTTCCCAAGTGTATATAACTACTACTGTAAGAAATATCAGAATTCGGTACATACTTTCTGTATTATATTTGCTTGAACTGAGCCGATCTAATCCTGTTTATATGAACTGAACCTGCTTTCCGATCACGTTTAAGCTAGCAGAACTGTGAATATGTGTGCTATGACAACAACTCTCGGATCAGCTTTGAAGAACGAAACGATCCTGGATCGTGTCAAATCGTCAATATCCAAATCCAGCTAACAGAGTAATCCACGTGCGAAGAACGGACCCCTGGGGCTGATTAGAGTTGTTGTCATAAGTTAAAATATATATGCTGCTGGTGCAAAGAGAAAACTTATTGATATGAACTTTTTAGATCGCTTTAGAACAGTTTGTGTACAATAGAAATGCACAATATGTGACTTTTTTTTAAAAGCAATAATATGCAGTCATAAACATGTTTTGACAGTTAATGTCTGTTATTTGATGCTTCACAAAAGTTGCAGACGCCTTTACCAATATCAAAATGCTTTTGTAAACATCCAGTTATTCTTTACACCGAAAAAAAACGGCTGCTATAATAAAGACAATCTTTTCTAAATGTAGAACTAAATACATTGATTTGCACTGAAATACATGATGAATACTGTTGACAAATGAAAGTGTAAAGCCTGCAGCTCATAACAAATGTGGAAAGTTATTGCGTGTCATATTTAACAAGCCGTTTACTGCTAATTTGATGTAATTTTGCTCACATGGATAACTGAATATTAATCAGATGATGTCATTACGCTGCTGTGCCGTCAGCCAATCACTGCATTGCTGATCATGATTTCGAGGATCGATAGATCTTTCCTTCACAACACACACAGCGATCTCAGATCAGTTTATCCAGACATTCCAATCTGATTCGCGAACTTGTTTGAAGAACCAAATTAGCGAGAGATCAGTTATCAAGATTAAAAGATCCAGGATCTGCCGAGTCATCTTAGATCATTTAAGCGAGGTATAAAGAACAGACCCCTGAATACTATGGATTTTCTCACAAAGTTTTGTTTTAGATTGCAAACAGCTGAAATACTAGATTTCAATTCAGTTCACCTTAATGTCTATAATGCTTTACAATGTAGATTAGGGGAAAACAGCTCAACACAGATGAAGAAAACTAAATAAAAGCCATATTTCAGATTGTGGAATCATTTCATTTTTGAGATCAGTTCTTCATTTTAGGAAGTAACAAATAAAAAGCTAATTAAACAAATGATTTTAAAATAGGGTGTTTTCTATATAATACTATACATTTTGATTATTAACGAGCTACTTTTTTTTTTAAATGAGTTGGGCTAAAAAGGTAAACAGCTTAACACAGATGAAGAAAAACAAACACGAGCCATATTTCAGATTGTGGAACATTTAAAACATTTTTAAATGTGTTAAACTAATTACACACACCCACAATCTCACACACACACACCCACAATCTCACACACACACACACACACACACACACACACACACACACACACACACACACACACACACACAGTGCCTTTTGACAGTTTCAATGCTTGCTGTCAATGTTTGCCTTTTACTGTCATTGTCTGAACAGGTCAAAACTATACAAAAAGCTCTTTTTAGGTGTGTACCATCAAATAAAAATTAACACAGAGTGCATACAGGAATTTAGAGAGTAAAATTTAATACCTTTTAAGACGCTTTCAATACATTTGACAACCTTATAACCATTTTCCAACCGGAAAAAACTAGCGAGAACTTTTTCCAGATTTAATATAAAGTCTTTTGTGTCTCCAGAATGTGTCTGCAACGTTTCAGCTCAAAACACCCATCAGATTTCTTTCATTATACCTTTCAGAAGTTTCTATTTTATAGCTCTGAGCAGCAGGTAGCGGTTTTTGTGTACTTCGCCTTTAAGGCTAGTCCTTCATGCCCACCGTTTCAACATGCCTTAATCTCCTCCCTCGGCTGCGTCAAACAACAGACGGACATAAAGGAAGAAGATCTCACGTAACGTTTGTGAGAAATACTACAGTAAGAACGTTACCGATGAGTATTTGATGCATTTGTTGTGGAGTTGCAACGATGAGTGACACACAATGTCATTACAATGTTCACACACACACACACAGCATGGACGCACACACAGAAACTGCACGCGTTTAGCTTTGCACTCTTTTTGCACGCAAATGTGACAGGACACAGGTTAATCTCCACTGCTGTATGATTATCTGTTCTGTTAATGTACAAAATAAACCTGATTTAACGTCCACAAACCGGGATTGAAGCGTCTTCTTTCATAATTGTCCTGACACGCGGCCAGGGCAAGCTAAACTGCCGCTCTAGGCAAAGGACGGTCACGCCGCCCTCGAACCTAAAGTGAAACCGGGGGTGGGGTCTATTCTGCCGCCCTAGACGCAGCTATAACTGAGGCGCGGGTGGGGAGGGTAGTTTAGAGGATGCCGCTCTCTTTATTCTGCCACCCTAGACGCAGATATAATTGAGGGCTAGGGTGGCGAGGATAGTTTCGGGGACGCCGCCCTCTCTATTCTGCCACCCTAGGCGGCCGCCTAGGTCGCCTCTATGGAAGCGCCGGCCCTGCACACGGCTGTAAATCGCTGTAATTCACTACACACATGTAGTGGTGTAAAGTAACTAAATGACAAATATTCAAATGACTGCGAGTAGTTTTTCCTCAGGAATTGTAATTTACATAGTAATTTTTAGTGCTGTATCTGTTCTTTTACTCCACTACTTTCCTTCAACCTGCTGTCACTACTTTATTTTTCTTGTCTTTGGGGATTAGAAAAATCACTCCTGTGATTCCTGTCCCATCAAATCACACATAGACAAGATAAATCGCATCATAATGAACTACCTCAAGACATGTGCGCTTTATAACTGCAGCAAACTGTTTGTAGGCATTAAGTGTCCAAGAACACGTCCAAAATCGTCACACGCAATGAACCAGAGACTGTTTAGATGCATGTAACTGATGAAAAGATGACAAATGTTTACTGTATGATGACCGAAATAGCCTTAAACACCCAGCAGGCACAAGACGTCAACATGATGTCAGATTGACGCTATACCCCAAAGTAATAGGGCGTTTCTTTTTGTTTGGAAATGAAAATTGGGTTGACGTCAGAACCCAACGTCAAACTGATGCCAACGTCCAACCTAAAAATCAACCAAATATCAACGTCTAATAATCTTACAGCTTGACTTTACGTGGATGTTACCACTATGATGTCTATCCGACGATGAATTTCGGTTGCCATACCTGATGAATGAATATCCGTATTTGACGTCAATATGACGTTGGTTTAAGACGTGGGCTCGACGTTTGAGTTAAAATCAACCAAATACCAAAGTCATTTGACGTCGTTATTAAACATCAAAATAACCTTGTACATACACACTTTTAAGAAGTGTCAGTGTTTCAAAATTCCAAGACTATTGGAAGTCAATAGTTTGAATACCATATCTTTTATAGGGGTGTCAATTTTAATTGTTTCTTCGGTGCACCGCGATGCAGACGTGGACAATTCGGTATCGTTTCATTTATAATCATAACCGGTTATTATGTACTGACGTCATTTACCACCTATGCGTTCTGTCGCGAGGGAAGTGAGTGCAGGTATTAATAACACTCCTGGCACCAACTGTGTACAATTTCACTGCGTGTGTGTGTGATTTCTGTAGTCTTTTATTGACAATTACAGCAGAAGCCCCTATTTCTCTACGATTGAGGGAATGAAGGTACTCAATTTCTCTCTCTCTCTCTCTCTCTCTCACAGTGGCTCATTTCACCCGCTGGCTTGACTTTTCCTCCCCTCTCCTTTCCTCTCGGCTGTATGCATTCCCGTGGCTGTACCTGTGCATTGTCGCGGGACCCGACCAGATTTCATGCGGCGCGGGAATAAATTTTCGAATAAATCGCGGGAGCGGTCGGTAACTCTGGTGTAATTTTAACAGGAGTGGGCGGTCTCACAATATCACTCCTGTGTGTGCACGTGCGTGTTTGTTAGGTGCTGTCTATGTTTGTGTATGTGTGTGAATGAGAGATAGTATGTAGCTGTGTGTCCGTGTGTGTGTGTGTGTGTGTTTATACAGACAGCTTGTTATAGCCACCCACCAAAATACAACACTGTGTATGGAAAGCATCGTCAATGCACCGTGATATCGAATTGAACCAGATCGATGGCATGATAATCGTAACCGAACCGTGAGACCTGTGTAGGTTCACACCTCTAATCTTTTATGTTTAACAGAACAATAACAACAACAAAAAACACACAGCTTGAGAAAAAGTGGAGGACGTATAAATGATGACTGCATTTTCATTTTTGGGTGGACTATCCATTAGATTTTTACAATGAATGGTCCCCATTGACATCATTTGATGGTTGCCGTTTACTTCAATAGGCTTTTATATTTTACTATGAAAGTCAGTGGTTACCGGTTTCCAACATTCTTCAAAATATCTTCAACTGTGTTCAACAGAACCAAAAACAAAAAACTCACACCGCTTTGGAAAAAAGCGAAGGATGTGTAAATGATTACAGAATGTTCAATTTTGGGTGAACTATCCCTTTAAATACTCCTTATTCCCAGCTGATAGCTCAAAGTCTTCTCCAAACACCCTCTAATCAATCTTTCCTCGTCTTCTCTTCCTCTTTCTCCACGTCATGTTCTCAATCTTTTCCTCCAGCTATTCTCATCCCTCTGACATGTGCTCTTCCTCTGCTGTGATTCAGGACTCTGTTAATCACTGACAACACTGCGAAAGCCTTTACATATTCATGAAGCAGCTCCGCCTCCTCTATTCTGTCTCTCTCTCCATCTGTCTGCCTCTCTTTTCCTCTGTCAGCCAGAGGTCTTTCACAGGAAGTTAATGAAGAATGTTTCCTGAATGGGCTCAGTGGATTCTGGGAAAGTAGCACTCATGTATAATTGACTGGAATGGCTTTTTATTTATTTATTTATTTATTTATTTTTGACTGGTAAATCGTATGCATACAGCTCTCAGCCTTATTTGATGTACTGCACATAGAATCATTTCATTTTTGAGATCAGTTCAATTTTAGAAAGCAACAAATAAAAAGTCAATCCTGCAAATGATTTTATAAAAGGGCATATACCATATAAAACTAGACTTTAATATAGTATTATTAACAAGCTACTTTTCTTTTTTACATGAGTTGTGCCAAAATGTTTCGGGTTTTAAAGTGTTTCCTTTTCTAAACATACGTTTACTCATTCAGCCATTCATTTTCCTTAAGCTTAGTCCCTTATTTATCAGCGGTCGCCACAGTGGAATGAATTGCCAACCATTCCAGAATATTTTTTACACAGCAGAACCCAGTACTGCCAAACGCCCATACACATCATACACTCATTCACACACATTTATACACTATGGCCAATTTTGTGTTCCCAATTCACCTATACCGCATGTCTTTGACTCCACACAGAAATGCCAACTGGCCCAGCCAGGACTTGAAAGTGTGACAGTGATAACCTCTGAGCCACCGTACCTCCCCTGTTATAAACAAAACTGCAGTTTTATTGCATTTCTTCAGTCACATGATTCTTTATAAATTATTATAATATGCTTCTTAATGAACATTGGCTGGGTCCGAAATCGCCTCAGTAGGTACTACATCTGAATTTACTACTCGGCAATTAGAAAAGAGCGTTCGGATGTGCGAATGGAACTCGAATGTCCTACATCCGCCATTTTGTCATGATCACGTGAAATACCCACGTCAGTTGTGTCGCTTCACTCATATTCATGAATTCTCTTGCGGTGCATCATGGGATATCGTAGCGTCCATTGGATGCGCACTACAGAATTTCACCGGTAGAAGTAGGTCATTTGGGTACTTCTCGCATACTGTTTTTCAAATTCTATGAATTCAGACATACTACTTAAGCTTGCATACTGTTTTTTTAGCGTACTATATAATATGGAAGTATGCAATTTCAGACGCAGCTATTGCCTATTATTATTAATGCTAAAAACAGTTGTGCAACCTCATATTTTTACACAGATTTTTTTTTATTAAATGAATATAAAATTCAATAAAACAGCTCTTAATAGAAACAGAACCTTAAACACAACAATTTAATGCATTCTTAAATAAAAAAAATCTTACAGTCCCCAAGTGTAATGTAATTTTTATCATTAATATTAATAATAATGTCATATTGTAGTCAGAAAGCAGTACTAACACTACACACAGATATATAACAACTCATTTTGTTTGTCTTAGTCATGATGACCATATAATATCTTACTAGTTATTACGCAATTAACTTAACTAGTTATTAACGCTATTAGTATTCAGCTAAAAGCTCAATTTAAAGGCTTAACTAGGTTAAATTGGTACAAGGTTAGGTTAATTAGGCAAGTCATTAGACAACAGTAGTTTTTTCTACAGTTTTTTCTACCCCGACCAAAGGGCCGGGCTACAAATATTGACTTTAAAAATTGTTTTAAAAAAACAAATTTAATTCCAGACGAAATTAAATTAAAATGAAGAATTAAATAAAAATTTGATTAAATAAAGTTAAAATAAACAGTAAAAAAAATTCTTAAAATTTTTTTTTTTTAAATCTCATTCAATTCCAGACAAAAAAAAAGAAAGAAAAGTAAAAAAATAAAAAATAAAATAAAAACTCCTTTAAAAATGTTTTAAAAATCTGATTTAATTGTAGACAAAATAAAATAAAATTAAAAATGAATTTTTTTAAAATTAAAATAGAAAATAAAATTAAAATAAATACTCCTTAAAATTTTTTAAAAAAAATTTGATTTAATTCCAGACAAAATAAAATAAAAAGAAAAATAATATAAAATTTATAAAAATAAATTTTAAATTAAATAAAAAAATAAAAATAGAAAATTCTATTAAATTTAAATAAATTAAATAAAACAGACTTTCTACAGAAGAAAAACCATCATAGTAAATGTAAAAAATCCCTTGCTTTATTAAACATCACTTGGGAAATATTTGAAAAATAATATTAGAAAGGCTAATATATCACACATTAAATACATTTAAGTAGATATCTCGAATACGCTAGACTACTTCTTTAACAAAGATCTTTAATCAACGTTGTTAGCTATAAAAACAAGTTTCCCAGTACTGGGTTGCATCTGGAAGGGCATCCGCTGTGTAAAACATATCCTGGATAAGTTGGCGGTTCATTCCGCTGTGACGACCTCTGATAAAATAAAGGGACTAAATAAAGGAAAATGAATGAATGAATAAAAACATATGCAAGCAAAAAATATTTAAAATACAATACCAATCTCCAGGATAGAATTCAACTTTAAAAGCACTAATAAATTTTTTAATGTTTTAATTAAAGTCTGTGCCTCTAATGCAGCACAGATGTACGTTTATAATTGAACTTTTACAACTGAGTGAGTATGTGAATCACTGTCAGTAGTGGAGTGTTTAAAAGCTGATGGATGGCATTTATAACCCGCCCTGATTGACAGTCATTTACTCAGAGTTCATTATAATGCTGTGCAGCAGATGTGTAGGCGGAGCTTGGGCTGATGGATAGACAGATGCTCCGCCCCTTCAGTAAACTATGCAAAAATCAGCCCCATTCAAAGGATTGTCTGTCAAGCGTGTGTTTCTAGTGCTGCATGATATTAGGAAAATAATTACATTGCAATATGCAGTTTCTTGGATTTATATATTGTGATATGAATAGAATTTCACAAAGTGACTAACTTTAAGGGTGACACGGTGGCTCAGTGGTCGTCTCAGCAAAAAGGTCGATGGTTAGAACTAGGCAGGTTAGGGTAATTAGGCAAGTTATTGTCTAATTTTGACTATCAAAAAAAAAAAAGCTTAAAGAGGCTAAATAATTTTGACCTTAAAATGGATTTTAAAATATTAAAAACTGCTTTGACATACTGTAAAAGTTTCCTTGCTCTGTTAAACATCATTTGGAAAATATTTAAAAAAGACACAAAAAAATTCATAGGGGAGGGGGGCGAATAATTCTGACTTAAACTGTATGTATGTATATATATGTATGTATATATATATGTATATATATATATGTATGTATATATATATATATATATATATATACACATATACATATATATATACATATATATATATATATATATATACATATATATATTTACACATATACATATATGTGTATGTATGTATATATAGTTTTCCTCTCTTCAACTGGAAGGATACCAACAGTTTTATCCACATCTGCACATTGTGATATCGATGCTGAAACGTTATATTGTGTTTCTGACCTGTACTCTCTCCTCTGCGCTGAGTAGCAGTGTGAATGAAATTGCTGTGGCCGCCATAGCATGTGTGGACGGCATTCCATACTCCGCATCCACACGCGTCTCCAGTTTGACCACCGGGGGAGACGGAGGACGCGGCAGCTTTAAAACATCCTTCATCACCTGCCCAATGTACATCACCACCTGCAGGCACAGATTCAGTTTGTCTATTGCCACATCAGCAACCTATGGCTATTTCATGACCAATGCATATAAGAACATATGACATGCATAATATAAACATAATAATAATAGCTACAACAACTTTAGAAACCAATAAGTAGACAATACAGAAAAGTACACATTAAATTTTACATCACTTTGATATATGATAAATACCTTAAAGGGGTGATCCAGAGTGCATTTTTAAGGTTTGGTTGTGTTTCTAAGATGCAAAGCAATGTATACTCATCCTTCACTTGTAGAAAATCAGGTTATTTTTTCATATGTCCTACTTTGATTATATACAGCTACAGCTATTTCTTAGTTTCTACAAAAGGCCCGCCCTTAAGAGGCTCTGATTGGTCAGCTAACATAGTGTGCTGTGATTCGTGGAACGGCTCCACATCACCAGGAAAAGCATCACGCTCCTTCAAGCACAAGCTTTTGCCCTGTGTAAACACTGTCAGCCGCAGCAGTCGGTGGCTGAATCAGACAGAAAAAGACACAGAGAACACAGCTTAGCCTCACGCCTGCTCTCTAAAATAAAATCTGACAAGAGTCTTTCACATGTATTTGAAATAAGCATGTGTAAGTAATATAAAACGTTCACATATCTTTTGCGAGTTTGTTATTTGAGATGTATAACGAACGTAAAGCGTACGCATATTGAGACACAGCAGCGCTGCTGAAGATTGTGTGTGTTTACAGTGGTTTGACTGATGAATATGTTGTAGCTGAATTGTTAGCGGTGCCAGACAGCATTTCTCTTTGTTTACATCCTTGTTTATGTCCTTGCTACAACATACTTAACTCTAGAAACTGTGCATGTAGCTGATCAATTTCACCAAATAAAAAGACTTACAGGTTGTGGCTCACAATCCACAGCTTAGTCTGTTGGAGGAGTTTAAACCGAATCCAGCACTGAACTGAGAGAGATTCTGGAAGCTCTCCTTTGTCAAATGCTAGCTATATTTTTTTATAATTCTCTGGAAGATAACTAAAATTGTAAGCACTTCTCTCTGTGTAGTGTCCTTTGGAATCCCAAATACAGAAACAAACGTTCTGTGCAAATGGCAGCTTTTAGACGGCATTTTAGCTTTCTCTGCTACATTACAGCACAACAGCACCTCTGGCCACACCCCGTTGTTGTGCAGGATGTGCGCTTGGTGAATGCACGCAACCTTAAGCCCTTATGATCTCACTAGCCCGGATGTATTTTATTTTGTATTCCCCAAACTTTGTTCGCTGTAGGCTTTGCTAAGCTAACACTGTATGCCAATGTCTCCCTTTGCATTGAATATAGAGCGTATTACATTCAGTGATGTTGTTTATATTCACACAGCTACATTATACATTAACTAAAGTTTCAAATATGATATCGTAGTTGAAAACTGCTTTAAAAATGTCTTTCTAGGAAGAATTTTAAAATATCCTACAGACAAAGAAAGAGAAATGAGATGTGAATAAGGCTGAAAATAAAAATTAAAAATTAAAACAAAGGCAGTTCTAGAAATTTTGCCTATCGGCAAAAAAGGGCTAATGTTTACAGTTAATAATTCAGAGATTCAAAAAAGGTACAAAAAAAAAAAATTAAAAATTGCTGGCAACACATGCAGAAATACTTATTTGCAAAAAAAATGGCTTAATACTAACAAATTACATGATGCAAAAAATTCTATGAAACATTTCTAACAAATACAGTTTTTATAATAAAGAATAAAACATTTTTAATTTTATGCATCTATAACAAATGCCGAAAGCTTAAAAAAACTAAAAATCAAATAAGAGTGTCTAGGGATTGAGAAATTATAATAGTTTTTATCTTCAAAATGCTAATGGAAGCAAAAAACGCTATGAAATGCACATTTTATATACATTTAATACATGCGTGTTAGAGCTTTTTTTGCCTAAAATAAAGATCACGATTTTCTCACGATTCTGTAGATGTAGAATAAAGGTTAATATGAGTGGGCTATTATTATTGTTGTTCTCAAACATATGGTAAACAGCAATAGGCTTTGTGTAGCTGTACTGTTGGTTAAAATGCTAAATTTTGTATAGACTTAGAATGGTGGACTTGAACAGACTTTAGATTTGTCCTGGTCATTAATGCTGATGATAATTCTAATGTTGAATTATTGTGTTTGACAGATTTTAAGCAGAAAATTACAGATTGGAAGCATATGTCTCAATGACGTGATTTTCGTGAATACAGAAGACTGGGTGGGTATTTTTGCATTTCGTCGGGTTTTGGATACTTTTTGGGCTGGAATCAGTCAGCTACATCTGGCAACACTGTGTGCGCTTTCGGTTTCATTTTCACTGCTAAGAGCGGTTCACTTCCCGCGCAGCTCCCAAACGATCACTCTGTGCCACAAACTGAACGTTATTTACAACTTTATTACCTGTTATTTACAGCCTATGCAGGTTCTGTTCACAAAAATAGACTTTATTCAGAGGCGATCGCAAATACATTACATGACGACCGAAATTACAATTTTAGGGTGACTTATATCTAGGCCCACACGGAATCTGCGCACGCAGATTTCGGCAGATTTCTGCAGATTTTTAGCCCATCATTAATTCTGTTTATTTGCTTGAGTAAATGTGTCAATCTGAATTTATTCAGTTTTTGTTCAGTAATTTATTACTTTTTATTTCATATATTAAGGTTTTAGTTATGATTACTCCCCTGGATGCTCCCAAAATTACATTTTACATTTACAATTACATTTTACATTCAAGCTTACATCTTAGAAATACAGCATGTGACTCTTTCAACACCATATAGAGGTGTCCACGTTGCTGAACAACGTACATAAAACAGTGTGAAGACTTGTGAGGCCACCATTGCTTCTCTCCTAAACTTGAAAATATAATTGACAGAATCAAAGAAATGCGGTATTAAGATCGTCTAGGGGATCGAATCGAGATTGTGATCTTTTAACGATTAATTGTGTAGCTCGATTAATTGTGCGTGTATGTGAAAGAGTAGTTCCTGTGACCCCTTTAGGCTGCACATTTCATAAGCTCTTCACAAGATAAAAATAGCATAACACTTATACGCATCATGAGGCGATTTAGTTTTGAGTGACCAAATTTTCAAGTCTTAAGAAAATTGTTAGTCATAAAGTGAACAATTCATGCTAGTTAATCCACATGTTTTGTTAAAAAGTCCTTCTTTGATGATGTCAGATTGATTGAGCGAGCGACCCTTGATTAGACACGCCCACAACCATTAGTTTGCTGCTAGGTAAAGATGAGAGGAGGAGCAGAAAAATAAACCCCACCCCCTACTCAATATTCCGTTTTAGTTGGAAATGCAAAACTAACAAAAAAGTCTCAGCAACTTTTGCTTCACACAGACTTTCAATCACAAAACGCACATAATAAAAGTATCCTTTGTGTTGTTTTGCGTTTTTATTAACTGACAACATCAGTTAATGATGATAACTCTAGTTCAGTCATGCTAATACAAGAATGAAGGTTTGAATAAACTAAAATTTGAACAAATAAATTGCTTAATGTTAAATTTAGTTCATAAAATATATGTTTAGTGAGAGAATGCCAAACTGAATTATTCTGGTCCAAACCAAATAAACAGAGAGAGCCACAATTATGAACACAACATCAGGTAATGATGAAGATAAACCTGGTTCAGTCATGCTAATACAAAATGAATGCTTGAACAATTAACGCAATGTAGTTCACTATAAACAGCTACGTTGATTCCAGAGGTGAACCAATCAAATGAATTTAGCCTGCTGTTGCTGTGGAAACTATATGCAAGCATAAAGTGAATAAAGAACAAAAATAGAAACACCAGAAGCAGAAAAAGACCAGGAGAAATGATGTGCTTTATGATACGCGCTTCATTTCACAGCTGACCGGTTCAATTTGTTTGCTAAAGACTTTCTATTTCAGTTTACTCTCTTCCGTTTCTCCTCCTTGCAGAAACCCCAACAGTATGATGATGAGTCAGGGCATTCGCATTCATTTTTAATTTCAAGATGTGTGTGTGTGTGTGTGTGTGTGTGTGTGGTTTTATCGGACACTCACAACCCACATGTTGACGAGCCGCCGGCACAGAAACGGGTCGAGGTTCCAGTGGATGCAGGGAAGGAAGGTGATGTAAAAGATTTCATGGCCCAGAGTGGCCGATGTCACAAACAGGAAGTAGAAAAGCCAGTTTTTCACCACATAATGTGGCCTGGGATGACCCTGAACACAGAGACATGAGCACAGTGATTCACCACATCAACAGAGCACAAATCACAATCTTAATCTGTTATTAATTGACACAGTAAATGCTTTTTTTTAAAGGAATATTCCAGCAGAAATGGCGACACTGTGGCTTAGTGGTTTAGGACTGTCGCCTCACAGAAAGAAGGTTGCTGGTTTGAGTCCCTGGTTGCTCAGTTGACATTTCTGTGTGGAGTTTGCATGTTCTCCCCATGTTGCCGTGGGTTTTCTCCGGGTGCTCTGGTTTCCCCCTAAGTCCAAACACATGTGCTATGTGAAGTTTATTTATGAACAAATTTCAAGAGGATCACAAGCTTATAATTGTTCTCAGCTGTTCCAGCATCAGCTCATGATCGATTATCCACTCAGATGATTGCTAAATCACGATAAATAACCAGAGTTTTCTTATCTCAGTATCTTCGTCTTGAAGAACACCGCCTTACCCACCGCTACTTCCCCTCCTTTTCAGATGGGTGACACAGCTGCCAGGTGATTAGCACTGTTGCCTCACAGCAAGAATGTCTCTGGTTTAAGTCCCTACTAAACCAGACGACATTTCTGTGCGGAGTTTCATCATAGGCTCAGGGCTCTCGGGACAGCATGCCAATCATTTATTATCAATCATCAGCTAAGTATAAACTCTTGAAAGGTTAATTGGATGAAGTAAATTGGCTGTAGTGAATGAGTGTGTGAATATGAGACTGAGTGTATGGGTGTTTCCCAGTGCTGGGCTGCAGCTGGAAGGGCATCCACTGTGTAAAACATATGCTTGATAAATTGGCGGTTCATTCCGCTGCAACCTCTGATAAATAAGAGACTAAGCTGAAGGAAAATAAATAAATGAATGAATTATATTATTATATTTAATTAATATTTTACTATAATATACTAAATGTAAGAATAAACGTTTACAAAATGATGTAATACTTTCGAAAATCGCTATATATATATATATATATATAAATAAAGAACAAAAATAGTCTGGTTCTCGAATCTGATTGGCTGATAGCCGTGATATATTTAAGTAATATCAGTACCTGTACAGCCTCTTTACCCTTTGTGTATTACTCCGCCCACATACAGCCAGCAAAAAGCAGACACTACAGATCTAAAGTTTAAAAGATGCTTGCTCAGCTGTTTAACTGTCAGCTTATGATTTGAATCCAAAGTGAAAGAAAGTAGTCCCTCATACAAAAGGGTTTTTGAGACTCTCCATGTTTAATTTTGTTTTTATATACACAATTATGCCATCAAACTGTTGTATAAACGTAATATCACACTCGTAGCATTGCGATATGGCTGTATATCGGCACTGGTGTTGGCACTAAGGCACTCGGCCTGCGGCCTTGTGTTACCGCACGCCTCCCAAAAGTGCCAATATCGCACTGCTACGAGTGTGATTTTGCTCATATATATATTTTATATATTAATATTTTATATATTAATATTATATATATATATATATATATATATATATATATAATTTACATTAATGTGTGATATGACCAAAAAGTAGTCAAACTAATATTTTCTCAATTCAAATGAGTAGTGGCTTGGACCCAGTATTTGTCCAGTATGTCAAGCAGATACTATTATATATCCTAACCCTGAATCCTTATAGACATTTTTGTCCTTTTTTGTGTTTAGCATATAGTATAGTTTTATTCAGCTGTGTTGCTAATTGCATAATATATGGCTCAGGTGTGTATTTTTATTGATATTTTAGTAGTTCACCCTCATTTAATTTCAAATTTGCATCAAATTTATACTTGGTACAAAAGAAGTTACATTCATGACCTTAAGGACAAAAATGTCCACATTGAAATGCTAAAAAAAATCATTAATGTTAGGTAATTATGGTTGTATCAGTAACTGACACTGATTTATGCATGTTTCAAAATGAATGGGGTTGTTTATCATTGACACATCCAATACTTTAATCAACAAGAAAAATCTGGTTATCATTTAGTATATCGAAAATAACTCATATCTTTAATTGTCATAAAAAAACACCATGAGCAGTATGTAAACAAGCCAGCATTTAAAGGGTTAAAATTCTAAATAAATAACGAATGTTCAGTGATTATGATTAGAACTTATGCTGATTAACATCATTTATTTTTTGGCTTAGTCCTTTTATTAATCAGGGCTCACCACAGGGGAATGAACCACCAACTTATCCAACATGTTTTACGCAGCAGATGCCTATCCAGCAGCAACCCAGCACTGGCTATTCGATATGAATGAATGAATAAAACAGGTTTGAAACATGTGGAAGATGAGTAAATGATGACAGAATTATGTTTTTGGGTGAACTGTTCCTTTAAAAACTGAAGGAACGATCAATTATTGATATGACTGAGGTAAAGTTGGCTTTATATTCACACTTTCAGACTTTCTTCTTAATAAAATAGTACAACAGTGTTCACAGTCAACTAAATACTGCTAATGTTGTTTTGAGGTCAAACTTAAATGTGATTGTAGTCCGAATATTCAAAGTAACATGGTAAACAATTTAGGAAGCATGTGTCGAGTTGCCATTGAATGAATGTGTGAATATTAAACCAACTTTACCTTAACATTGAAATGTATATTAGAATACAGAATTTAACTGACAGATTTAAGTCAATGTTTGCATTAAGTGTCTGTCTTTACGTCCATAAACTCATCTACAATAGAAACAAAACCCTATTCAGAGTGAGACATCAGAATTTGCTTTATAAACTTAAGATAATCTCAACCAACCAGAGAAACTGGAAAGACTTGTCAGCTGGTATTTCTGCTTAGCACATCAGGGAAACTCTCGGTTTTAATTCACCTCAATGAAAAGACTCATTTAAATCGGTTTAACTTACTTCGACTTTGTTGTCATTCTGTAAATTGGCGGATTTATAGTTGGAGTTGCTGTCGTGTGCGCGTGACCCGTTCGCCACCTGCTCCGCTTTGCGCCGGTGCGTCGTCACCGGAGTCTCCTTAACGGATCCATTCGCGTTCACGAGTCCGTTTTGATTCACATGCGAGAAGGACTCTGCTGGTACCAGGCCGCAGAGGCGCTGAAAACCCACCACCAGTTCGGGGCTGTTCAGGTACGTGATGATTCTCCACATGGCCGCGCGGAGTTTGAGCTCTATGTGCACGCGCGCGTTTCCGCACCAACCCAGTCCGCGCGCACAGGTGTGTTTTACAGCTGCAGCCTGCAGGTGACAGAGCTGAGGTGATGACGTATACGATTATGGCGTGCATTGATTGGTTGAAGCATTTACCCTTGGAAAATGACCTGGTTTTATCTGTCTAAAAGGTGGGTCAATATTGGATGAGTTATGGGTTGGCAGGATTTGAGTCACATTTTTGCTAATAAAATGAAATGATAAAGATTATCTAAAAGATATATTAAGATTCTGAAAGCTCAGTGGCGACAGTGGCTCAGTGGTTAGCACTGTGACCTCACAACAAGAAGGTCGCTGGTTCAAGTCCCATGTTGCTCAGTTGGCATTTCTGTGTAAAGTTTGCATGTTTTTTCAGTGTTGCCTTGGGTTTCCTACGGGTGCTCTGATTTCCCCCTCAGTCCAAACACATGTGCAATAGGTAAATTGAATAAACTAAAATTGGCAGTAGTGTATGAGTGTGTATGGGAGTTTCCCAGTATTGGGTTGCAGCTGGAAGGGCATTCACTGTGCAAAACATAAGCTGGAATAGTTGGTGGTTCGTTCCACTGTGGCAACCTCTGAGGAATAAAGGGATTAAGCCGAAGAAAAATAAATGGATGAAAGCTTAATGATCTAAACATCAAAGAATTCATCAGTTGGAATGAATCTGAGGCCCAGTTACTTTAAAAAGTAGGCCCATAATCTGGATCGGAATCATTTGGACTTAAAAATACAATATCTTGCTATCAAGGATCAGGATAATTTACCTCTGCATTATCCTAAATCAGATTAAAAAATGCATAAATGGCCTCATTTGTGATTTAGAATTGTAGAGCTAAGCAAATCAAGGGGTAATTATATAGACAAATATCTATACAAACAAACACAAAAATGTATTATCAGACCTTTTACTTTTTGTAATTAATATTACACTAATTACATTTCTCAACCCTCTAAAAGATAATAAGTTTTAATCATATATATATATATATATATATATGTGTGTGTGTGTGTGTATATATGTATATATATGTATATGTATATATACACACACACACACACAGTGGTGTAAAGTAACTAATTACAAATACTCAAATGACTGTAATTGAGTGGTTTTCCTCAGAAATTGTCATTTACTAAGTAGTTTTATAAATGTGTACATTTTCTCTTCCTTGAGTTCATTTTTAGTGCTGTATCGGTACTTTTACTCCACTACTTTCCTTCAACCTGCAGTCACTACTTTAGTTTTCTTATCTATGGGGATTAGAAAAATCAGTCCTGTGATCCTGTCCAATCAAATCGCACACAGAAGGTAAATCACATCATAATGAACAACCTCAAGACATGGGCACTTTATAATCGCAGCAAACTGTTTGGAAGCATTAAAAGTGTCCAAGAACACGTCCAAAATAGTCACACGTCTAATGATGTTACAGCTTGACGTTGTGAAGACGTTACCGGTATGAAGTCTATCAGACGTTGGATTTTGGTTGCCAGACCTGATGAATAAATGTCAGTATGTGACATCAATATGACGTTGGTTTATAATTTTGTCTCGACGTTGGATTTTGGTCACTTTTCAAAACAATCTAAAGTCAACTAAATATCATCGTCATTTGATGTCATTATTGGACATCAAAATAATGTTATCCTTAGATGCTGGCTAGACATTGAACTGTGGTCACCTGACATATATAAATATATATTCTTATTTTTTATATAATTTCTTTTTTTTAAACAACCCATACTGATAAACAAATAAACAAGCCTGAATTATGTCATTTAATCCCAATTTCAGGAATTTTTTGTGTTTTTAACAAAATTTGAACTACCATGCATTCTTACGGTCACACATTGCTGCCACACACATAATTTTTCCCCTCTCAGCTATGTCTTTATAACAAGATCTTTTCTCGTTAAGCTATGTCGTTATAACGAGATCTTTGGCGTCGCATTATAATGAGAAAAGATTTCGTCATAATGACATAGCTGGGTGGGAAAAAAAATGTGTGTGGCAGCAATGCTTCACCGAACATTCTAATACAAACTGGAAAGTTTTTCTTGAGAGTTTTTTTTCTTGTTCCTAGTCAGTGTGCAAGATCCATCCTCTAGATGCACTCGGACCAGGGCCGTGCACTGCCACTGCACCTCGCCCCCCACCTCACTTTGCAAACCCCCCCTTTTAACATCAGACACCCTGAAGGGTTGATCAGACCCCAGCTTGGGCTCCAAAAGCCATCACCCACAAATCAGTCCTCTTTGTCCATCTTGTGGATTTCTCTGCAGCTTCACAAACAGACTTAATGGCCCTATTCTTGGCTGCTACTGCTAGGCCTATAAGGCTTTAGAGTGAATGCCCTGCAAACCCTCTACAGCCCACATCTATTGGCTCGGAGTGGGTCTTCTAGCTCCCTTCCTCCCTTCACTTCTCTACTAGCTCCTGGCACTTTGAGTGTTTCCTTTCATTTGCCTCTTCCATCCGCATCCCAGGTTGACCTGCAACTGTCAGTTATAGGGGCTGAGTGGAGGAGGAAAGACCTTGTCCTTCCACTCAGCTCCTGACTGGCAGTTGCAAGTCAACCTGGGGAAGTAGTTAAAACCTCATATCAAAAAGCATGTACTGTAAGTAAAAATATTTCTAAAATATATTTATTTCAGATATAATGGGTCAACAATATTTATTTTTATTTTTTATTTCATTCATTTATTTTCTTGACGGCTTAGTCCCTTTATTAATCCGTGGTCGCCACAGCAAAATGAACCGCCAACTTATCCAGCAAGTTTCGCCACTGCTTCACCCCTTATTTTTTATTTACATTTAATTATTTATTTTCAATAAGCACAATAACCTGGCAGTGGTGTAACCAGGGCCGCCGCGTCCATAGAGGCGACCTAGGCGGCTGCCTAGGGCGGCAGAATAGAGAGGGCGGCGTCCGCGACACTACCCTCCCCACCCGCGCCCTCAGTTATATCCGCATCTAGTGAGTTAGAATGGAGAGGCGGCGTTTGCGACAGCTCCCTAACTGTCCACCACCCCAACCCCACCACCCCGGCTTTCACTTTAGGGTTGAGGGCGGCGCGACCGTTCTTTGCCGAGAGCAGCAGTTCAGCTTGCTCCAGTTCTGGGTGTAACCGATATAACCCATGCACTCTCATTCACACACATACACTTCAGCCTATTTAGCCTACTCAATTCGCCCAAAGCACATGTCTTTGAGGGAAACCTGGAGCACCAAGAGGAAACCTAAGCCAACAAGGGGAGAACATGCAAACTTCACACAGAAATGCCAACTGACCAAGCCGAGGCTCAAACCAGTGACCTTCTTGCTGCGAGGCGATCGTGCTACCCACTGCGCCACCTTAAGCCTATAATAGGTCACGCGCAGATTCCGTGTGAGCCTAGTCATTGGTTCTCAAACTGTGGTATACGTGCTTCCTTCTAGTGGTACTTGATGAAAAACGTTTGAGAACCACTGCTGTAGGTGAATTGAATAATTGGCTGTATAGTGCATGTATGTGTGTGCATGTGAGAGTGTATGGATGTTTCCTAGTATTGGGTTGCAGCTGGAAGGGCATCTGCTGTGTAAAACAAACAGGGGCGGACTGGGACAAAAATTCAGCCCTGGCACTATAGCCACACCAGCCCACATTACCATACGTACTGTTTGTTTGACATTCTTGCCAGATTTTGATTATCTCCGCGTAACCTTTGATTGAGTCGGCCCCTCTCGAAACTATCACCGATTGGGCCAAATGCTTAACATTTACTATTATTACCATCATCAATGTCATCATAATATTCACATGTTGCACGAGATAAAAGCTGCCTGCATGTAAAAACAATACATATAAAAAATAATAATAAAATAAAAAATAAAAATAAAAAACTGACCGGCCCACATTTAAAAAAATGGTCCGGCCCCTCTGGCATTTGCCAGAATTGCCAGATGACCAGTCCGCCCCTGAAAACAAATGCTGGATAAATTGTCGGTTCATTCTGCTGTGACGACCCCTAATGAATAAAGGAACTAAGCCGAAGGAGAATGAATGAATAATACTGTCCATTTTCCAGAACTATAGCTTTTGTGATTTACATATTTTAAAACTGAATATCAAATGTTGTCCAACACAAAAAGGGACACTGTATCGTCACACAAGATGTAGCCTAGGGTGGACGAGAACAGAATGAATGAACCAGAAATAGTGAGCAAACCCATCTGTTTCTGGGCTATTAGTTTCCATGACAACATCATGAGCCAGTCGAAATGCCAAACAGGTAGATGACTCACAACGGGGAATAAACGCGGCTAAATGACCATCAGATCCGCACACACACACACAGCCAGGGAGAAAATAACAGATGCGCTCCGAGCAGCACAAAAGGAGTTAAACCCACTGACGTAAACAGCATCATTTAGCCTGAGGACTCGTGCCGTTTGACCCGGACGCGTGTCTGCTGCTTTGACTGAGCTGTGATTCCCGAGTCCCACATCTTCGCCAGACAGCGGGTTAATTCTGGACGAGAGCAAAGCCAGCTTTATTACATCATCATTATCATCATCATCATCCAGTCCATACCGGAATGACACGGTTAATTATTTAGGCTACTGTAATAAACTCAACTTGCGCGGAGATTATTTTTGTGTGCATTTGTGAGCTTTGTTTTTGTTTTTAAATAGAAAAGGGCATTACACAAGAATGCCCTGCTTTAACAGGAGCTTTTGTTGATAAAGAGAAGAAAAGGCGTCTCTCGTGACTGGTCCATTGTGTGGAGGATGTGAGTTCGTGCGGGATGCCATGGCAGCGGTGGATGCAGCAGCGAGCGGGCAAGAGCCGCCCGGTCTCCCGGTACCCAAGGCGTTTCCCTACGAGGAGTACGAGTGCAAGATCTGCTACAACTACTTCGACCTCGGCCGACGGGCTCCAAAAATCTTGGAGTGCCTCCACACGTTTTGCGAGGAGTGTCTGCACGCGCTGCAACTGTGCGAGGAGCGGCCGTGGCGCATCAGCTGTCCCGTGTGCCGCCACCGCACGCCCGTTCCGGACTACCGGATTCAAAACCTGCCCAACAACACCAAGGTCACCGAGGATTTCCCGCTGTATATTGATTCAGATCCAGTGCCTCAAGATGCTCTGCCGCCACACCCGCCTCCGCTTCACCCGGCGCTCATCGCGCTCCGGCGGGAGGAGGACGCGTCCGCGGCGTCTATGGCGGGTCACGCGACGCCCTCCACCACTACGGTGTCCACCGCCACCACGCTGTCCCAAGACTCGGTTTCACGTTACGAAAGCTGCCATAATTGCCGACGGCTCGCGCTGACCACCGGGTGCGTGTGCGTGATCTTCTCGTTACTGTCCATGCTAGTGTTGCTCTTCCTGGGCCTCATTTTTGTGCACAGCCACGGCGGGCCGCCCTCACCCGCGGGACCCCTCTGTCTGTCGGTGGCCAGCATCCTCGCTATGCTGTCGGCGATGGTCACCTGGCTGCTCTACTGGCTCAAAGACCGACCAGAGCACGACACGGGCCGCTCCTCGGCCACCACTAATGCCAGCCGGAGAAACGCGTGACTGGGCATCAGGATCGTATGACAAGCGCTTTCACCACACTGTAAAAAATTTGACCTTAAATTCACAGTAAATTACTGGCTAATAATTGCATTACTTTCACAGTAAATTACTGTATGTAAATTCACAGTAAATTATTGTGAGGTAGTTCACAGTAATTTACTGTGGTTTTGTCACATTAAATTATTGTGAAATTACAACCATATATTGTAACTTTACAGTAGATAATGAAGTCCGTTACTGTGATTTCACAGTATTATCTTGTAGAATTAACTATATTTTACTGTGAATTTGCAAAACGATTACTGTGATTTAGCAGTAGGTTGCGGTTTAAATACCTGATTTAACTGTAAAGTTAAAGTTATATCCCGGATTACTGTAATTTAACAGTTTGGTGCTGTAAAATTTCAAAGCAATTTTAGGTCACACAAAAATGAAAATTCTATCTTGATTTACTCACCCTCAGGTTGTTCCAGCTCTGTTAAAAATGATTTTTTGTTAAACACAGGAATAAAAATATCAAATATTCCTCTTTGTGTCCAAACAACCTGAGGATGCGTAAATGACGACAGAATCTTCATTTTTGGGTGATCTGAGAAGACTCTAAAATCAAAATGAAAACAAACACACATACATTTTACAGATTTATTTAACAGCTTAATGACATCTGTGTAAACATTTCAGAAAACTTTCAAAAGGTGAAGGTGAAACCTCAAAAAATACTATAAGAACATATTAATAAAAAAATCTGACATCATATGTAGCATACATATAAAAAGCAGTGCTTCAGAGTGCGCGCTCTCTCTCTCTCTCTCTGTATATATATATATATATATATATATATATATATATATATAAATATATATATATATAAATATATATATATATATATAAATATATAAACACACACACACACACACACACACATGAGAGAGAGAGAGAGAGAGAGACAAAACTTCTTGCTAAATTAGGCAGTCGTCTATTCAAGGTCAATCATTTTCCTGATAATTTTACACACTTGCTGGTTGATGTGTCTTCTCTGCTTCTTTGACTTCGTCTGTCTTCCATCTCCAAACTGGTGCCCAAAAAGCACCTATAAGCAAAAGGGCAGACAAATAGTTAGCTTCATACAACACTACTGGGACACTACTGCTGCACTAGAGAGCAAAATTACTGTTAGCTTAGTTTGAACATGCTGACAATACTGTAGCTCAGTCAAACTGCAGTTATTTAAACAAAAACATCTGAAAAACATTTCCATCACAAACACACAATCAAGAACAGTCCAACAACAAATAGTGATTTTAATGACCTAGGCAGAGCATTTTAAAACAGTTGATTTGATTTACACCTTCTGTTTACAGACTATAATCTAATGCTGGGTTCACACTTATTGCAAAGTAAACACATGCATCACAGTACTTGCTCTTGAATACTAGCAGGATGTTTCTTGCATCAAGCTAATTTTTCATGATTTAAATATTAGGAAAATTTTGCAAAAAAAACTTGATTGAAGTGATATAGCACTTGTGTTGTATTCATTTCAATGAAGTTTTTTGCAAATATTCCAAATATTCTTCCACATGTTTTGAGTTTCACTTAATTTGTGCTGCCCAGTAAAAAATTTCCCACTATTTATGCATTTGCAATGACTTGCATGTAATCCACTCACCTGAATAGGTAACTTCACATATGGTATAAGAGCCCCATCCTTTTAAAGACAGCTTCCCCTCTGGTCTCCAGCACAGACAAACAAATTGTGTCTGCAACACGGCCCTTTATAACAAGGGGACAAGGGGAGTCATGACTTGTGCTCCTATACATTCCTTGTTTAACCCCCCCAAAACAAGCACTCAGTTACAATATTTATTGTTGACATTACCTTAAATTCCAGAGTGCAAAAGGCAACTTCAGCATACTTCAGTTTCAGACCAGATCCAAAGTCAGTTGTGAAATCCAGGTGAGGTCCCATGACCACTCGACCCTCCAAGGAATAAGACTAAAAGGGGGAAAGAAGGACTAAATTAGAGGTGTTTGTGAATAATTAAATTTGTTTGTAGAAACAAAGTTGACATTCCATGCTCTGCCTATTAAAAACCAAGCAAACAAACACACATGCCCAGTAAAATTGCTAATAAAAATAAAAACTATAGTTTAAAAAAAATCTTTGTCTAATATTTACTACTACTGGAGGTACTGGTGGAACTTCTGGAAGAAGAAAAAGAGTTTGTACAAGAAACTGCTCACAACAAATCTGTGGAAAAACCTGACATTTAAAAATCTAATAAAAATGAGGAAGGCATCAACATTACCTTTAATAATCAAGCGAGGGGTGATTGGTAACATCAGTGTTTCAACATCAATGGCTGTGGCTGCAAAAAAAATATGAATATAATAAGAGTAGAATAAGACTCAACCTAACACACGCACACACATACTCTCTCTCTCTCTCTCTCTCTCTCTCTCTCTCTATATATATATATATAGGTTTAGATCGTGATAATGAATTTAGGCTATATTTGTGTACTCAGAATTTACACTCACCTCACACTTCAGCTATTATCAGGTACACCTGAACACCAAAAAACAAAATCTACAGTTAGTGACAATATACAATTAGTTCTCATTAGTAAATGTTAGCACTGCATTAACACCAGTGAGAAATATACAATATGTACTGTGTTAGTGTTAGTTTAAAAGAATACAACTGAATTGTATTATAAGCTTCATTTAATAAAACAGTTAAGACTTGTTTCATAATGAGTTTAGTTTATTTAAATAACTTAACGTTAACGTTACAGTGAACAAAATTAACGTACATGATGGTGACTAACCGTAACGTTAACTTAAGTGAAGGTCAGAGCTTACCTTAACTTTAGTCATTTCACCTTTACTTCAGTCTTGTACTGAAACAGAAAAAGCAGTTAACAAGAAGTTAATTAAAGAAAATTCCCTTTCTTTTTTCAGGAACTAACGTTAACGTTATGCTAATACCTCAGAAAACACTACAATCACCATCTGGCGTCGTTAATTTCTTGTTTAAAAAAAGGCGCGCTTAAACCCTGTACGTGCGAGTACAACTAAAGTACTCGGTAAATTCCTGTTAAATGACATGCACTATACAGAAATACACATACAACACTCATTTAACGGAAAAAAAGTCATATTTTAACACTTACCGAGGATGAATTCGTTTGGTGAAGAGACGAGGCAGGCGTTGTCTGTGGTGATGGCGCTTGTTAGCGGTCGAGTCAGTTCTGTTAAATGAATCGGCTCCTTTAAGTGAACAGTAAAGAGTCGAATTCGGCTCCTTTAAGTGAACAGTAAAGAGTCGAATTCGCCTGAAAACGATTCCATTTTGTATAATATTGTAAGACGCAAACATATAATTCATTAATATTTCATCATATTGCTTGGAGCTCATGAACACGTCTGATAAAATATCTGAATCTGATTCAATGTCACACGAGTCCTGAATCGAAGCAGTGCAAAAGTAATATATTGATTGAAATATAAAGTTAATTATTTTCTTCGCCATTCAAAATATTATATATCTCTGACTTTAACAATAAGAATAAAGTTCGTTTGGAGTGTATTGAGAATTATTATTTTTTCCTCCCAGGATTCAATTCGCACCAAGCTGCATCAAGCTGTAATGGTGGATGAGAAGGCACATAATATTATAAATATTGCTTTTAATATGTAATGAAATAAAGTTTTAATACTTTTTTATGCGAGAATGTAGTTCTTCAAAACTCAAATCTGTGGATTGTTAGTAAAGATTGTGTGTAATTTTAAGTGTGTTTTGCCGGTAGCGGAGATCTATGACCTCCAGGTGGTAACGGCGCTCATTACTCATGTATCCGCCGAAAGGCGCCTGTCTTCAGGCTAGACATTGGGACAATTGCCCCGTCTTCGATGGCTCTATATGCATCCGAAAATTAAGTTTTAACTGTTTTTCATGCTAGAATGTAGTTGTTTAAAACTCTAATCTGTGGTTTATTTATATAGATAAAAAAAATTATATATATATATATATATATATATATATATATATATATATATATATATATATATATATATATATATATAATTCTGAGATTAGTGACCTCCAGGCGATGAAAGGTGCCCAAACTCATGAAACCGTCTAAAGCAGACATTTACCCTGACATTGAAATAATTGTTGGCTGTTTAACAGTCTTTGGTTTCATTAATTAATTACTTTTTATTCAAGTTTATTATTGGCTAAGCACACAGTTGTTCATTAAATATTATTTCATATTCTATGTTAACTGTATAAAATTAAATAAAGGTGCAGTACAACCAAAAAGATGTTGGTAACCAAATCGTTTTGGGAGCTATAACATTCTGTTATTATCTGTTAAAAGTTCATTTGTATTAATTTCTACGTTGAGTTAAAAAAGGTTTGAATTTCTATAACTAACGTGCAAAAGATATAGCCCTTTTCACAGTAATTTGCTGTAATCATGCTACCTGCCGTAATTTCACAATAAAATTATGAATACAACATATTACTGTGAATTTTTCAGTTAAATACTGTGAAGAGATACTAATGTAATTTACTGTGAAAAATTACAGTAACATGTTGTGAAAACCTGGAAATTTTTTACAGTGCACTCATTCCTTAATATACCCGGTAACATTTTATCTTAAAGGACAATTCATGCTATTAACTAATCATTTACTAAGACTATTGGCTAATTAGCTGCTTATTGATAGTAGTAGTTTAGGTAGGCTATTTGGGATGTAGAATAAAACCTTACATTATAAGAAGCAATAAACTGCCAATATCTTAATAATAGGCAGGCAATAAGCCAGTAGGTAATAGTGTGAATTGTTACTTGAGTTAAAATGTTACCATAGTACAGCTAGTTTATTTTCATGTTACTATCAGTAACTTTAATCTGCTGTCAGAATAGTCAGTTTTAACAATTTTGAGTGAAATTATTTAACTAGATTTTTTTTGTAAAAAAGGTCTATCCCATATGAAAACAATCCTATATTTATCTGTTGTTAATACTAGTGTTTTTGATCCATACTATAGTAAATTGTGATACACTGCATTTGTTATAGTATTTTCAACTCTGTCAATGAATGCTACAGTAACTAGTTAATGATACAGTAACGAATACTGCAGCATGCTTTAATTTTTGCCACAGTAAATGATGATGTATTATAGTATAATATCCTCTATAAGTGTAGAAAAAAAACAGAACTCGGTCATTAGTGGTTGTGTAAATGTAGCAACTATAAAATCACCACAACCAATTAATTAAATAGCACACTAGAGTATGGTTCAAAAACAAGTGCACACTATTTACTATAGTATTTTTTAAATGTGGGGAAAGTCTTTTTTTTTTTACATTTTAAACATTAACATTCCAATCTCACTAATTTCACATATCTAATTATTAAGTAGCTACAGCAAGGTCATATTAGTTTACATTAATTAATGAATTAGCACACATCGGGCAATATTACACTCTAAAAATGCTGGGCTTTAACTGAACATTGGGTCAAATATGGAGAAATCCAACATTGGGTTACTTCTTCCACTAAAATTTAAATGACACTTTCGAACCCAATGGGCTGGTTTCTTTATATTTGACCCAATGTTGAGTTAAAACAACCCCATTGTGTCAAATATGGAGAAATCCAACATTGGGTTACTTCTTCTACTTTAATTTAATTGACACTTTTAAATGCAATGGGCTGGTTTCTCCATATTTGAACAAATGTTGAGTTATAACAACCCTATTGGGTCAAATATGGAGAAATCCAACATTGGGTTACTTTTTTCACTTAAATTTAAATGACACTTTTGAACCCAATGGGCTGGTTTTTCCATATTTGACCCAATGTTGAGTTAAAACAACCACATTGTGTCAAATATGGAGAAATTTAACATTCGGTTACTGCGTCCACTTAAATTTAAATGACACTTTTAAACCCAATGGGCTGGTTTGTCCATATTTGACCCAATGTTGAGTTAAAACAACCCCATTGGGTCAAATATGAAGAAATCCAACATTGGGTTACTTTTTTTTCTTAAATTTAAATGACACTTTTGAACCAAATGGGCAGGTTTGTCCATATTTGAACAAATGTTGAGTTAAAACTACTCCATTGTGTCAAATAAGGAGAAATCCAACATTCGGTTACTTCTTCCACTTAAATTTAAATGTCACTTTCAAACCCAATGGGCTGGTTTCTTCATATTTGAACAAATGTTGAGTTAAAACAACACCATTGGGTCAAATATGGAGAAATCTAACATTGGGTTACTTTTTTAATTAAATTTAAATGACACTTTTGAACCAAATGGGCAGGTTTGTCCATATTTGAACAAATGTTGAGTTAAAACAACCCCATTGTGTCAAATTTGGAGAAATTCAACATTCGGTTACTGTGTCCACTTAAATTTAAATGACACTTTTAAACCCAATGGGCTGGTTTGTCCATATTTGACCCAATGTTGAGTTAAAACAACCCCATTTGGTCAAATATAGAGAAATCAAACATTGGGTTACTTTTTTTCTTAAATTTAAATGACACTTTTGAACCAAATGGGCAGGTTTGTCCATATTTGACCCAATGTTGAGTTAAAACAACTTAGAGTATAATAATTGTCAAGCTGATCTGTTCATTGTTAGTATATTATCAGAATAATAATATTAAAAGAGTGTTGTTTTGTTTTTTTTAACCATGTATTGGTTAACTTTAAATAACATATTTTTCATCGTTAGTTCATGTTAACTAATACACCCTAAAATGCTGGGTTATTTCAACCCAATTCTGGGTAAAAATATAAACTAAACCAACAGCTAGGGTACTTTTGTTTTAATTAAATTAATAATTTAACCCAATGTTTGGCTTTGTCCATATTTTACCCATGGGTTTAAATGACCCAGCATTTCTTAGAGTGTACATAATGTTAACTAATGGAACCTTAGATGAAGTGTTCCACAAAAACATCTGGAATCCACACAGTATTTACTCAACTAGTAAACTTGAAAATACACTGGTAGTGATTGCAATGGTAAACATACATTAGGTATAGAAGTATTTAATGCATTACAATTACCAGTACAGGCTGACGTTTCTCTACAAGGAGTGCAAAGTCTGCAACTATTGGGAGTGTCTGCAGGTTGCAAAATGTCGCTCACATTGAATGCCACGCCAGATTTTGGGATACAGAACCTGATGTGACCACACTGACCCAGAACCACTAGCACAGCTGGCTATAGAAGTGTGCGCATGATCATCTACTTAATGTCCTGTGTTGTGCAGCTCTTCGTGTTTGACCACTGCCCTACCTGTAGTTCTTCTACTGGGACACCTGTGTGTGAGCTTGAGAAGAACTGACTTTACACATTCACTAACAATCACCAGAAGCAACAGTTGGTTAAACTTCATGCAAAAACAAATATGTTGGTGAAAGTCTGTGCAGAATCTGAGCACAGCTGCTGTTTGATATTTGGTTTCTAGTGCAGTGGCGTTCAGACTTTGGTGGTAGGGCCATTATAAAGAGCGAGGTCCAAAAGTATGGGAGACCTAATGAAAATGTATCTACTTTGCATTATTTGATAACATTTGCACTGCTTAAAGGAATAGTTCACCCCAAAAAATGAATTTAAATGTCAGTTTACTCACCCACAAGTCATCGGTGTGTATGGCTTTCTTGTCAGACGAACACAATTAAAGCAGTTTTAAACTTCATCCTAGCTCTCCATTGCTCTATAATGGTGGTGGGTATTTACCCTTTATTTAAAGTTTCTAAAAGCTGCAGGTGGTTAATGCATGTCTTATTAAGCACATTGATGTGTTTTTGAAACAAAAGTATTATTTTTTTTTAATTATAAAGTTATAAATCACCAACTTCAGGTGACTGTCGAATGCATGTTTTGGACAACTTTTGGAAATAGACACATCTTGGGTGAAACACCACACAATTCATCCAAAAGTTAGTTTAGCTACTTATTTAAAATAAGTTGAAACAACACAGGGGTGGCTCAGTGGTTAGCACTGTTGCCTTCGAGTCCCGGCATTTTTGTGTGGAGTTTGCATGTTCTCCCCGTGTTAGTGTGGGTTTCCTCCGGGTGCTCCGGTTTTCCCCACAATCCGAAGACATGCGTATAGGTGAATTACATAAACTAAATTGGCCGTACTGTGTGTATGTGGATGAGTGTGTGTTTGGGTTGGGTTACAGCTGGAAGGGCATCCCCTGTGTAAAACATATTTTGGATAAGTTGGCGGTTCATTCCGCTGTGGCGACTCCTAAAGAATAAAAAGACTAAGCCGAAGGAAAATGAATGGATGAAACACCACATTCACTCACTATCCTTCTGCCTAGTCCCTGATTTATCAGGAGTCGCAACAGTGGAATGAACTGCCAATTACTCTAATATAGGTTTTATGCGGCGGATGTCCTTCTAGCCACATAAAACAACACAATTCTTACGTTTTGTTAGGGACAACTTAATATCTTTATGTTCAATCCATCTGAATTTGTAAAAACGCTTAGGTTAACTTGATTGTTTTCTGTTAGGACAACATAACTGGGGGAACCCAGCATTTTTTACCACAGAAGACGACAACAAACAAGAAAACTAGCTGGCTTGCCGTTACTCTATTACATTAAATAAAGGAGATGTTTCTATTTTTAGAACTAACTCTATGAATGCATCTTACCCCAATCTTTTTATCACCGCGGACCGCTTAACGATTGACAATTTTACCTTTTACCGCAGACAGGGGTTGGTTTCTCTGACAAAACATTGCTGTCACTCTGATACAATTTTTTTTCTAGAGTTCTTGCAAGTTCGTTATTTCCAATGGAGGTGCGTGGCTAGCTCATGGAGGTGACCTGACGCACTCGCGCCTTCCAGACTCACGCAGTTGAATGAACGCTGCAAGCATACAATGAGTCACATAGCAAGAACTGACCAATCAGCTTTATAATTTGTATGGAATGTACACATTTCGGTAGACTTATTATCTCAGACGAACACTGAACACCCAAACACTGCAGTGCTGTGTAATTTCCTCCACATATAAGGCATGTGAACGGCCCCTAAAAGGCCATAGTCATTTGCGATCTCCAGCAGTTGATCTTTGTGCACAAACATGGTGTTTGGGTACACACGTTTGGGTACGACCTGATTTGTTGACAAATGGGTTGTGGGTCTGTTTCTTGGCAGTTTGCAGATCCTTCGCTGGGCCTTTTCCCTTAGCAAAGAAACTTTCCAAAGACTCATTTTGGTGCTTGTGGTTTAAATTTGGGCGTTCAAGTGACTGAGATGTAAGCAAGAGAATATGGTCATTTTTCAAAATAAAAGATAGTTCAGACTCAGATAATAAATAAAACAGAAATGATTAATGATTTATTCTGTGGCTCGGTACAGGTCCGCGGCCCAGTGGTTGAGGACCATTGCTTTACATCATGCGTCTTACATTAGGTACATATGAGGTCAGCCTAAAATATGTTTAAATTAATTTGCATTCGGCAGACATCGGAAGTCATTGACTGAGTTTAGAATTAGAAATTAGAAATATTTTTGTTTCAATGCACAACGATCCCCTTCATAAGTAATGTGTTAACGCCCTAGTAACATTTGAGTTTTACAATGAATTTATGTGCTTTTGAAAGCTACAAAAAAGGACCACTACCCAACAACATTATACAGTATGGAGGAGCCAGGATAATGTGTAAAAGTACTCCGACTGTGTTCGTCTGACAGTGTAAAGTCATATACACCAGCTAGATCTCATGAGAAAACAAATCTATTTTACGTTTTGTCAGAAAAGTGGCAAATTTGTATAAATTCGTACAATTTCATTTGTACGAAAATGTACGATTTTTAAAAGCAGGCCTGCCCCCAAACCCAACCATCATTGGGAGATGAGCAAATCATACTAAAATGTATGAAAGTGGTCATAAAAATATTAATTAGACACTAAATCAAAAAGTTACAAATTTTTCTATGAGATTGCATAAAGGATAGGATTGCGGATGAGTAAATTATTGGGTAATTTTTAGGGGTGTGACGAGATCTCATGTCTATTTTCTGTTTGTATATTAGCAAAATATTTTGCAGTGTTTGCATGTCCTTAATTACAGTAAAATAACATTCATTACAAGTTTATAAAAAAAAGCACCTAAAGTGTTTTGCATTTTGTGATTTTATTTTCAGTTGAATGAAAGACTATTTTGCATATATATATATATATATTTTTTTTTTTTTTTCTTTTCCTTATTGCAGATTTTTTAGAAAGTGTACAAATCTCATCTCGTTTTCGTGAAAACAATCTTGTGTCTCGTGGAGTAAGCATCTCATCACTCACCTAGGAATGTTTATATTTGGGTGAACTATTCCTTTCAAGGTACATTTATGCATTTGCCACTTTTATCCACACTCAAAAGTAAACTTTGCTGTTTGTTCAAACTACTTATTTAAATTGAGCTGGAACAACACAATTCTTGACTTTTTTTGGGAGGAAAATTTAATTGTTTTATGTTCAATCCACTTAAATTTGTAAAAACTTAATTCCTTCATGTTGTGCCAACTCAAATTGATTCTGTAGAACCCAGCATTTGTTATATATATATATATATATATATATATATATATATATATATATATATATATATATATATATATATATTTTTTTTTTTTTTTTTTTTTTTACAGTGAGGCATTTCCCAGTATCTAATTAAATAAAATTGCAGAGTGTTGCAAAACAACTTAACCAGGGGTGTCCAAACTTGGTCCTGGAGGTCTGATGTTCTGCATATTATTT